TTCCAGACTGGGTGTCCGTCTAAAGTCAGCTAACGGAGTTTCTCCTTCCGAGGCAGACGAAAAGTGGCTTTCCAGACTGGGCGTTTGTCTAAAGTCAGGCTAGTGGAGTTTCTCCCTTTCGACGCAGTCGAAATCGTGGCTTTCCCAGACTGTGCTCTGGGACTGCTGTCATTGTCTTTGGTTTTGTCTGAAACAGGCAATGAACGGTTTTTCCGTGGCGTTCAAGAATCTTTCGAAGGCGCTGGGTTTCTTTGGCTTTATCATGTGCTTAACCAGTGTCTCGCAGACTTGCTCATCAGTCAGCTGCATAAATAGCTTCTGAATCGACACCTGTGTCTTTCTACAGCCGATGGGCTTTAGCAGGTCCTTGTAGGCTTTCATGTCAGCCCTCTTGATGTTGTGTCTCTGTGCCTCCACGGCTACGTCAATATACTGGAGCTTTTCAAGGACCTGCTGCGTCAGTGAATAAACGGTGGCTTTGTGGAGGTGAGCTGCTATTGAATCCCCCGTTACCCGGCTGACTAGCTTCTCCACGACTGTCCTGCAGCCTATTTCGTCCCACCTATTTTGTGTGTTGTTCTCAGCTTGCACCTCTAGGATACAAGCTGCTTCTGGCTGAATAGGGGCCGTTGTTGTTGTGACCCTTTCAGTAACGACGGGCAACTCTGAGTTCGACAGCAAACTGGACAGAGCCGAAGTGTAAGCGATGAAATCTCCCAAAGGGTCCATGTGGGGGTTCAAGACCTCAATCGCAGTCAAACAGTGGCTTTGCAGACTGGGTGTCCGTCTAAAGTCAGCTAACGGAGTTTCTTCTTCCGAGGCAGACGAATAGTGGCTTTCCAGACTGGGTGTCCGTCTAAAGTCAGCTAACGGAGTTTCTCCTTCCGAGGCAGACGAAAAGTGGCTTTCCAGACTGGGTGTCCGTCTAAAGTCAGCTAGTGGAGTTTCTCCTTTCGACGCAGTCGAATCGTGGCTTTCCAGACTGTGCTCTGGACTGCTGTCATTGTCTTTGGTTTGTCTGAAACAGGCAATGAACGGTTTTTCCGTGGCGTTCAAGAATCTTTCGAAGGCGCTGGGTTTCTTTGGCTTTATCATGTGCTTAACCAGTGTCTCGCAGACTTGCTCATCAGTCAGCTGCATAAATAGCTTCTGAATCGACACCTGTGTCTTTCTACAGCCGATGGGCTTTAGCAGGTCCTTGTAGGCTTTCATGTCAGCCCTCTTGATGTTGTGTCTCTGTGCCTCCACGGCTACGTCAATATACTGGAGCTTTTCAAGGACCTGCTGCGTCAGTGAATAAACGGTGGCTTTGTGGAGGTGAGCTGCTATTGAATCCCCCGTTACCCGGCTGACTAGCTTCTCCACGACTGTCCTGCAGCCTATTTCGTCCCACCTATTTCGTGTGTCGTTCTCAGCTTGCACCTCTAGGATACAAGCTGCTTCTGACTGAATAGGGTCCGTTGTTGTTGTGACCCTTTCAGTCATGAATTCTCCCAAAGGGTCCATGTGGGGGTTCAAGACCTCAGTCGAACAGTGGCTTTGCAGACTGTGCTCTGGACTGTCAGTTTCCCAGTCGAAAATGTCAAACTCAACGTCAATGTCGTATCCATCCGAACGCTCCGTGAGCCGGTCGATGGCCTGCACAAGAGCTTCAGAATTGTCACAGTCCACTTCTTCCATCACAAAGTTGGATTCTACAGCCGTCTCCCAACCCATGACATGAGAAATGAATTTCCGCATTTTGTTTCTTTAAATCCCTTTACCCTAAATTTTCAGTTACCCTAAATAAACGATGTCTCTCCTTTCTTGGTCTGCTGCAAATGGCCTATAACTAAGCTCTGTTATCTGATCAAAGCTCCGTTGCTTAGCAACTGTCTATGACCTAGTTATGACCTAAATGGTGACCATTTGGTAACCATGGTAACTAGTTTTAATGTAATGTGTGGTGTAATATCTTATGATTTTTTTTTTTTGTGTGACAGTTAGAATCAGTATCAGGTCAGCTTCAAACTTCTTTGCATTGTCTCAAAGTTCGACGCTGGCTGGCGAGCTCTTCCATTGTCTTTGTGACTTTCCATCACAATTGGACTTGCATTTGCATTCTCATCAGTCTTCAGGGCTGCAGCAGCATTCTTTACCTGTGAACACAAAACTTAACTCATGGTTTGTTAGTGACCTAGAACATTCATGTATTCCTAATGAAAATTATATCAATATACCATATGTAGTTAAATGTATGTATGATTTGTTGATAAAATCATTACAGGATGATGGTCTGTAACAAAGTATTCCATTCTGTACTGCTATTATTAATGTTATATGATCTAAAATTTGCTTCCGTCATCAAGATGCTGTATGAGATGTACCGTGCACTGTACATCTCATATCCACACTCAACAACTTGCAGCCTATCACTAAGTTTAAGAGAAAATACCAAATTATTTACAACAAGGTCTACAGATTTGGCTCAAATCACATAATTTCCCTCTCATTTAAACGTCTCCCTCTGTTGTCACGCTCTCTGTGCTAACTATTTACATATATTCACCCACTGGACTGTTGACCAACAAAAAAGGACCACTGTTGAGTCAACAGTGGTCCTTTTTTCTTGAGGCATCTTCACACCTCTTCCTCAGTCATTCCCCAGCTTTGTACGAGAAGCAGAAACTCTTTCGACATAGCGATCGGAATCCGTTTCTCTAGTTTGTCTCCCTCTCTGATTTGAGGCCAAAGCCCTCTTTGCCTCTCTAAAATCATCAAGCAGAGCATAGTGGAAAGTGTTTTTATTGGTGAGATTACAGAGGGACCTTCAAGTCCCTGCTCTTCTTTCCCTTTCAGTTAGATCCCTCGTGTTCTTCCTCTTTTGGGTCAGGATATCATTTACATAACGCCGTTTTCACAAGTACTCTACGTGTAGGGTCTCTATCTCCCGCTGCCTGTATAATCTTTGCTTTTCAGCAGCTTTTAATTCCACCATGTCTGACAAAAGGAAAAGTATACTTACACAAATAGACAATTAACTTTTCAGCTTGTATATGGCTCATTTGTAGAGGGATGTCACTGAAAATGGCTTTTCATGTCAGACCACATGAAAATCAAAACCATTAAACTGTTCAATATAAATCAGTTTAAATTTTGGACCTCATGAGTAACCAATAAATTAGTAACACAAATGACAGGCTTAAAAGCTTCATTCAAAATTCTCATATCATTTTGAACGAGACGGACATCTGATTTACCATATTACTGTCCAATGCACTTCCTCAAATGACCTCCTAATGCAGGAAGAGTCAGTGAAGTATTTCAAAATAAGTTGAGTCACATGATTCTGTGGGACTGGTAATTTAATATTTGTAATAATTAGGTATTTCACGTTTTTAACCATGTGAATGTTCAATGTAACTATACATTTGAATTAATCCATAAAGGGCTCGACTTCCATGAAAGATAAGTGACAAAGAAATTCCTCGAGCTTAGTTTTGTAATTACATTGCCAAAATCTAACATTAAATATTAAATGAATAAACTTGCCATGGATTTTAGTGTCTGTACAAGTGAGTGACAGCACGTTTTTTGTGGAATGACCCATATATGTATATTCATACAACTAAACTAGTTATAGCTGAAAGCGAATGCAGCCTTGTTGGTGTTCTAATATTTCTATTAGCTCACTTCAAGTGGATTTCACCTTTTCATTTTGAAGTTTGTCGGGTTTGTGTACATTTCCTTCACGGACTGAGGAAGTAGTCATTTGGCAACATGTAAATATTTCCCAGTTTTATTTTCATTTCCTGTTCTTGTTTCTTCTCATCTAATCCACCGATATTTGTTTGCTGGAGCAGGAAACTGAAGCAACATGAACCTCTGCTGCACATTCAGGCTTTGGGCCCTTTGATAGCCACTTTCAATGCAAACACGAACCTTTATGAAGTGCCATACTTGAGTTAGAGATTAAAAGGTTGCAGTTCAAAGCTTTAAGTAGAATAGACTGTCTCCATCTGGTAAAAGATGGTCATTTGAGGGGATGATAGTATGGAAGACACATGCTTTGCACTTTTATACAAACTGCTTCTTTTCTCACTTCATTTAAAAAGTCCATTGTGTGTTTGCGGAGCATGCACATTGGACACTTCCGGGATCTTCAGACTGGTTTCCACAATTTGTGATGTCACTCAATTAAACAAGTTTGATTTAAGATGCACACAGAAATGACTGTGCACAGACAAACAAAAGGACGTTTAAACATCCAGGGAAAGTTACAAGTCTCAATGAAGGGCACATGTATGTAAAGAATGGATAATATTCTTCAGAAGGTGTGGATACATTTAATTTATAGATTTCAGGATGACAAACCTAAGACCCTGTGACTGAAACTTGATTTAGAACTTGGACTAATGATCACCCCATGACTCAACGGCTGTGAGGTGATTGTTTATTGCAGCCAGGAAAGCGTAAAGGGAAGCACATTTGAATAGTTTAAGAAATAAAGAAACACATCAGAAATGTAACATCCATGTACATGACTCCTTATAACCCAGCTGATCAGTTCCCTCAAACTATTAAAAAAAAAAAAAAAAAGGTCTATAGAGCATTTTAAATGACTACCGATTGCAAATTCTGTTGAAGCAGTGTTTTCCAAAAGCAACTATTTTATGGCTTAGATTTGCTAAAGAACGTTGTTCACTACTGTAACATTCAGGGTGATATTTTGAAATCCTGGCGACATAAAATTAGTTACTTTTCTTATCCCTGTGAATATGTGATACCATAACATGCCTTTAAACCAGTAACTTGATTCACGCAAAAGGAAAAAAAAAAGACAATTGAGCAAAGAAAAAGTCAAATACAATGTTCCAAAAACTGGGTATTGTATGTAGAAACATTTAGGAAACAAGGCACAAGGAAATCTCTTAATGAACAAACTCATCAAAAGAGAAGGTAGGACTCACTTTCACACCGACTGACTCATCAAAACTCATTTAGCGAAGTGAGGATCTATTCTGGACTCAGTGGACCACACCGCTGTCCCAAAACATGTTAACACTTCAGACATTTCATGGAGTCCAGAGAAAAAGAAAATTGACACCTTGATTAATATGAGAACGTCTGACTGAAGGAACCCATAACTTAGACCGCTTCTGTACCTCACTAATGAGATGATGCAAATTGACACCTTGATTAATATGAGAACGTCTGACTGAAGGAACCCATAACTTAGACCGCTTCTGTACCTCACTAATGAGATGATGCAATCATTTCATAAAGCGATGATGTAAAACTTCTCCATAAAGAGCTACATAAGCGTGGAAAGATCATTAAAGGGATCTAAAGCTGCAGACCACACGTGCAGCACCCTAATGTTTATGTACAGACATTATGGAAATCACTGTTCCCGATAATAAAAAACATCCATCCTACAGTGAAATATGGAGGGCACTGCCTCCGATACGGACATACACTGGTAGGCAAAAACTACCTTCTTCATTTCACATTATGGAAGGCACTGCTGCCGATAACGTATTCGGGACGAGAGGTGTACATGTACCGAGGGAGCGGCACCGGCAGCCAGAGGCGGGATATGAGAGACGGCATTTTCCCCGAAAGACCGATCCAGTGTCAGTTTAACAAAAAACAACCTTGAGCCCTTGTGCTGCTTTCAGAGAGGTGACTGACTGTTCAGCGTTGAGTCCTGCCGGCCGTCGGTCAACATGTACACTTCCCTTTAAGCAGATGCTGCTTTTGTCATTTCGACAGTATAACTGTCATAATTATGGAAGACACTGCCCCCGATAATTACATTTTTTTATAAAAGGCAATAAAAAAATATTTATAGTGAACTCTGCCACTGATAAATAAATAACACAATAAATAGACGTACGGTTTGTTTCAGTGCCACGTGGTTGGAGACTCCTCCCTGTAATGTTTTCTGTGGTTTGTTTGAAAGGCTGACAGGTTTGCCCGGATTCAGGCGATGAGAAATTCAGATTAGTAATTATTCAGAACTTTTCTAAAAGATCAATGAAGCATGGATGAGGCCAAGTTACAACGTCTCATTGTCCAAAATATTTTTCAAGATGTGTTCTATCCAACAGAACTTAACATCTTCAGCCTTTTTCAGCAACTCCTGAATCTCTGACCAAACGTTGAGGAGCTAGATTTCAGCGCTGAAGGAAATTGTAGCTACCAATATTAACCAGCTGGGGTTTGAACAGAGCTCCATCAGCACCAGATGTTTTTATTTGCAGTGATTAAGGTAAAGACTTTTAGCTTATCTCTACTGACCATTTGATTTCTCTGTAGTTTTGACCTCAAGTTCACTACATGTATCTCTTTCATGAGGTAAGACCAACACAAGAAGTACTGCTGCAGGTCATTTGAACGTAGTCGTTACAAGCACCAAAGAGAATGTTGTTTTTAAAGGAGATGTTATTGAGGAATTTCTCTTTCTGCAAGTAGAAGGAAAAAAGTAAATTACCCTTACAACTCTTTCAAGTTAAGGCGGAAGAAGACTTTCAGAATTAATGTTTGGCTTTTTGGAGAGTTTCAAAAAATAAAGATTAACTCATCACATCAAGTGTTTGCTGTGATGACAATGAAATTAAAATTCAATTCAGTAGACTCCTCAATTGTATAATTTTCTCCTTCTGCTTAAATATTTTAATAAGCTGTGCATCCGTGAGTGCTAGTTGTGATGACAGAGCACGTGAACAAGGGAGAGAAATTACTTTAGATTTCATTATCCAAGGCCCAGATATCCCCGGCTAGCGAGTTGGCACAGCCCTGAACCGTCCAGGTCGCCATGGCCAGCTGGTTGCGGAAGAGGTCGGCGTCCGACTCGGGGTGGTCGTTCTTGAGGCCATCGAGGTGGTTGGAAAGAGCCTTGAGGGTGTGAGGGCCGGAGCCCAGCATGATGTGGCGGAACGGGCTGTCTCTGGGAGACACGTAGGGCGACAGGAGGTTCCTTTCCACCTGCAGAGTCAAGAGAACAGCAGGATGAGGGGGACGTTAGTAAAGCTTTCTTAAGTCACTGGTATTGGTTTTAACAGCCGTTTATTCATTATCTTAAGTATTTTAAAACTCCACAGGTGTCTGATTCCTTTGCTACTTTCTGAAATAAGTATTTGAATAGATTTTTAAAGTCAGTTAAGACATTTTTCTCAAGGATAAGATTTCTACACACCTAAGCAACATTAACAGTTCTAAAGACAACTTTGAATTTATGTGAATACTCGTGAACTGTGGTGACGTGCTTCATCCGGACTGTGTGAGCGTGGATTAGTGTAGAAGGCAAAGCGAGCTGCCGACCTCACAGATTTAACCCATTTCAACCAAATGTTGCAAAAGGTCAAGGAGGTATATGACATCTTCACAACTAGCTACAATGAATAGCTACAATGAATACATGTTCTACATAGTAACTGCCACCAATTCCAGCTCTTACCAATTTGTTTCTCACAGCCAAGGGGGGGTCAGGGGTCAACAGTGAGTAGCTATAAAACTTGAGGCTATAACTTTGTTTTAGGACTTTACGAGTCATGGTCTTACCGCCATTATGCGGTCATTAATGATGCGACACATCTCAATGTCCTCCAGGTCACTGTTCTGCATGTCCGTCACCAGCCGCTGAGCCACGCGTCCGTAGGAGCCGGAGGCCGAGATTAACCACTGCACAGTCAAGGCCTTGGGCAACAGCTGGGGCTGCATCTGCAAGCACACATGGCAACCACGAGGTGTGATATTCTGAAGAAACTAAACTAGATGTGCATCTTTGAGACATTTGGGTGGCAACATATCCGCAATAAAATCAATTTAAAAAACAAACAAACAAGTAACTTGTCTACTTTCAAAGCGTGAATTTTAATGTAGTATTTATTTGCAATTGATTCTGAAAAGGTAACAAATCAAATAGTTCAATCCATGCCAGAAAGAAAAACCCGGCACTCACCCTCTTAACAGAATAGACTTTGGTGTTGATCTGGACAACATGGTTGCGGATAATATTGTTGTACTTCATCACGTCCATACGCAGCAGGTGATCATGGACCAGCCTCAGCACCATGTGACCTGCGAACCGAGCCGCCGTTTCTGCCAGCTGAGGAACCTGATTGCCCGCAGCCACGTTCAGTTTCTCCCTGGTGTCCAGCTCTGTGCCGAAGTACGGGTATTCCTGAGAGGGGGAAGAAAGGTGTTGATTACAGAGCAGAAACTAGACCGCGGGATGAACAAACTAACGTGATGGCTCAATGTAAAAGCTGGTCTCAGGCTGTGGCTACAAAACTGGCTCAAAAAGACTGATGCAAGTTGTGGTAGGATGGACGACTCACCAAGTTACCAGAGGTGAATCCAAATGAGACCGAGGGGATGCCAGAGAAAGCGAGGAAAGGATAAGCAGCAGCATCCAGCTTAAAAGGCTCCAATCTGGTAAAATAAAACAGATTTGATGTCATGGTGACGTACAAACACAGACTAGACCAAACGGACCGGCGGCCTGGTTCCACTTACACATTCGACTCAAAGTTGATCTTTGCAAATTGGGAGTAGAGTGTCGAAGAACTGTCTGGATATTTCACCTAAAGAGAAGACGATTGCAGTTATACATTATCTCACAATTTTGAAAGAAAAAAAATTGAACAATGACAACACTGCAGGCGTGTATTGAATGTACCTCCTTCATAGTGCTCTCGATCAGGCCGTGCATCAAGGGACTGGCTGACACTTTAAATCCCGTCGAACCTGGAAAAAACAATTTAATTATACTGAAAATCACTCAGTTGGTCCTAATGTAAGCATATGGAAGCTCTTTAATAGTCTGAAAATACCTTTAATTACTCGGTCCAGGTTGATGTAGGAGAAGGCTTTCATGCTCAGGGAAGAAAGATAACCCTGGGCATAGAAAAAAAGACATCAGGTAGAGTCTGAACACCGAACAGAGTGACTATACCATAAAAGCTGCTGATCCAGAAAAGTACAGTTGGGTAAATCCTTCTCACCTCCAACCACTCGGTGGCGCCAACACTCCCATATTCCCCAGCACTCCAACTAGCGAACACGATGCTTCTCCTTGGTTTGAAACCATCTGGTACGAAGATGAGAAAAGCATTAAGTGGCAACCGAACACCTTGATCAACTTTATATTTGGACTAAGCACATCTTGGCTTCAGTCTTTAGCCGTTAGATTATCGTATCGTATTATCCCTTCAAGCAACAAACAAAAACATCTGGAAACATTTCACGTTAGAACCTTACCATTCTTCACCATGTCCGAGATGGAACGGGCCAACTCCACGAGGAGGCTGGTGCCGACGGTCGACGTAGCAAAACCCGCCCCCCATGCATCCCTCTGAGCGCCGATTACGACATATCGATCTACAATTGAAGAACGAAAACAAAGACATTCTAGGTAGGTAGCTCCATCTCAGGAGGTGTGCGCGCAGCGGCTTCCTGATTACAATGTCTGTTTGAAACTAATATTACCTGCATCCACAAAGCCTTTGATGACCCCAAAAACATTATGGATCTTTTTCTCCGCGAGAACGTTGTTGACCTCAACAGTAATGGCATCATTCTCTTCTCCCAGTTTGTAGCTGCCACCCCATGTTTCTGGTTCATTGTGACCCCCCAGCTGCCTCCGGATGTTGGAAGCCATGGCTGATGTGATGCTCTGAGCCAAGATCTTTGGCAGGCCTGAAGACTGGACAGGCGGGAACTGGGTGTGGTTGAAGGAGGGAAAGCCTGGGGTGTAGGGATCCCCTGAACCCATGTGGACCTGCAAGAGACGGTCGGAAGGAGGTCAGATGGAAAGCAAGTTTGGATTGAACGTTTTTTCTTTTAAAAGATATTCTTTCCAGCAGCTTTCAATATGGAGCCTCAGTCTTTTAAATGCATAATTGAGAAGATATGAAAAATCTCTCCACCAATAACAAAATCATCGTCAGGATCACCCTTTGTAATTGGTGCTCGACTGGCTTTTATAGTCAAACAAAACACAGATTTACTGCTTAAGCATCATTGGTACACTGAACTAAACAACTCATCTGAGTTGAGTTGAGGATTTTATTGCTTCCAATCTGCCATCACTCACATGCCCAAAGAGCTGCGTGGAGTCTCCAATAGGGTAATCAGTGGGGTCCGGATAGATCAACACAGCAGAGGCACCCATTTTGGCAGCATTGGCTACCTGTAAGCAAAAAAGAAAGTCATGGGAAGTATCATCACCAACCACAAAAGCATATATAAAAAAAATAAAAAAAAAACATGTTTGAGAGATTAAGGTATGCATAAAGTTTAGAGAAATGCGGCTGTATTTCTTAGCAACCACCGACCTTCTCAGCAAAGCTGATCCGTCCCGCGCGGATCAGCATAACCCGGTCGGTCATGTTGATGTTCCTGTCCCGCAGCAACTGGAAGTCACTTTCCTGCCCATAGAATGCATACAAGACGCCACCCTGGAGGAAAAAAATCAAAAAAAAAAATCAGACTAGTTCAAAATCTCCAAGTAAAATGATCTAATTCAGCTTTTAGATTACCGTAGCAGTTCCATTGGCGCTGTAGGACAGGAATCCCTTTGAATACTCCGCACTCCCCTTGAAAACAAATCTGTTGGCGCCAGCAGCCGGTGCGTCCTGAACCTTGATGAAGTGCTCGTCGGTCCAGGTGTTCATGCCGTAACCTTTGAACTTTCCGAGTACCTTGTTTGCCAGCGACTCGTCCCCTTTAGAACCAGCTTTGTGGTTGACAACAGAAAACTCCCTAGGAGAGGACGAATCACAACGTGAGGAAAAAACAAAACAAAAAAACAAATGACCTTTTGCCTCAACGCGCATTCTACAGGCAGACTGTGCGGCCTGGAAATATACCTGAAGACTGGCTCCATTTTGGCTGCGGAAAGTTTCTCAGTGAGGAGCTTTTTGACATCTTCCCAGTTCATGAGGGGGGCGGCGCCGGTCTCTCGCTCCAAGGGTTCTGCTACGGGGTCCACAGAGGCCTCACAGGTGGGAGCCACGTCCTTCTTCCCATGAGCCAGGTAGGCAATCAAGTACCCTGAAAGTAGCAGCGGTTCAAATGAGCACACAATGACAGAAAGGAACAATCGTGCTGACAGACTAAAGCCAGCAAGTCACTGGGGGCAACACTTGGCTGTACACAGGGCTTGGAATTAACATTTTTGTTCACCGGCCACTGTGGCTAGTGGTTTTCCAAAGTTACTAGTCACTTTCATTAGCTACAATTGTGCGGGAAATCTCATTTAATTTAACTTCAGTTTGCTACAATTTACTCAAAGAACTAGATTTAAAATCCTTCAAATGTAAATTACCATTGTAAACACCCAAATCAAGACTACATAAAATGGTTATGTACAGTCACCTGTACATATACAAAAGGAGTTTTCCCAAGTATGTAAAGCTCTTTTGGTATGAAAACATATGCAACTGACGAAGACAAAAAGAGTAGCTCATTGCGTATAACTGGTGCAGAGGTATTTTGTTGTCCATTTAGTCGCAATGCTTTGGACGTGGCCAGTGGAAATTTCATGGTATCGTTTCCACTGTGACGTTACTTGTCCCAACTATAAAAACGAAAAAAAGGCACCCTTTACCTTTCACTCCCGTACGTTTTACAATCAGTACATTATTTTCTTGGCTCGATCATAAACCAGCCATTCTCGACTGGACCTTTACTTTTCATTATTTAAGGTTTCATCAGTTGCTCTTTGTCTATCCTCCAGGTTTTCCTACAGCTGCTCTGCGCCGCTCAAGTTTTATCAAAAGCCTCCACTTGTCACGTGTGTTTGCGTGTCTATGTTGCTTAGTAACGTGCATACGGTGTTTGAGAGGGCAAACGATACGTGCACAAAGATACGAAGCGGATTCAGCCTGCGAGCTAAACTGAGACCGCTACGCTAAGGAAGTGCGCACTCGCGGTCCGTAGCTGGTTTACACGAACCACCGCTGTGACCGAGCGTTCTGGGTTGGTGGCTGATTCTCTCATGAAATAAACGCCTTCACCCATCAACCACCCTTTTGCCTCTACGGCAACACTGGAGGAACATACATCTCAAACGCGAAACCGTCCCAAAAATAAAATTGCACCCGCTAGAGTGGCTAGTGAGAGACTACTTTACCGCAGCCGAAACCTAGGAATCGCTCACCGATGACAAAGATAAGGACGGTGGCGGCGACCATGAAGCAGAGGTTCTTTGGTTTGCGGCCGGGCTTTTCGGCCGCGTGGGGCTTGCGGTTGGAGTTGTGATTGAGGTGGTCTCCCACGCCGTTGCCCCCGGCCTCCTCGTCCATGTCGGACGACAGCTTCATCTCCACCTGGCTGTTGTCTCCTTCCATGTTCTGGGTCAGGTTGAAACGGGTGTAGGAGTGCGGCTCCCCGTTGAACTGCAGTGACACGGCGGTGCAGGAATGAAGAGATGAAAAAGATTGAAAAAAAAGTGAAGAAAATATGGATTATTTCAAACTGATTTTTTTCTGTAGATTGACCTGAAATGGAATCTAATGCACACATCTGTTATAATGGCAGGGGAACACTGTACGGGGGTTTCAGATAACACCATTGTTATAATACTCACAATTTTGGATATTGTTGACCTTGCCTGGTCCATTGCTGCTTCAATCTAAAAGGGAAACAGACAAGTATGAGTGAAGGATCACGGTCTTTCTCTGAAGTCTTTATTTAAGAGAGTTCAATTCTTTGAAGATGAAAAGCGTTTAATTAAAACCCTTTTATTTTACTTGCCATTTTACTACAAGTGATGAGAACTTGGGTCTCTACAGTGCATTACGGTCTCACTTCTGGCAAAGGTTTCCACAGAACACGTCCCACCTCTTGTCCAAACATCCGTGGGGTTTCCTTTGCAGCTCACTTGAAAGCCAGCACTGTTCGAGCCACAAAAGACCAGTGTCCAGCGAGGGTCCGCACAGCCTCCGCGTGAACCCCGTTCACAGTAGAATACAATAACAGCATCCATACAAAATAAGAGCCAATCAAAGCAAGGTCTCAACTTGACCGAGTAACCAGAACCTGAAACCCAAGACGCAAGTACGTTTTCCCAACCGCTGTAACGCACAGTCAGCGGAATGAGAGCAATGCATGTGATCCCCTTGAGGAGACCTTTGTTCTGTGTGAGGGGCCGGAGACTGGTCAAAAACCATCGGCCACCGTGTGATAGCCAATGTGCACCGCTTTGCTGCGTAGAAGCTTTTCTGCACATGGCATATATCCAATGAATGAACACATTGGTTTTGGATGCACATTTAAAAAAGGTGTCAGAGACACTGTTGCAGTATCTCATTTCTCACCACTGCGTGAGTATTGATTCCCTGACATTTGACCCTGCAAACTGCAGTCGCTTGCTTCTACTGCAGAGTCAGGATTTCTTTTATGCATTACCATCTTGGGCAATCCAATGAATTACATTCACTTTATTTATACAATAGCTAAAGGCAACGTATTTAATATGGTGAAGCCGCACGCGTATTTGTCCAACTATTCATTAGGGCTCCTATGAGACAACAATGAGTTGTTTGGGTTCACGCTGTGACCCAAACAAGGACACATTGTTCATTTACTTTTCCCACAAGAAGCTGCCTTTTTGGAGGACAAGTTTAACCCAGGATGTTATGAGCTGGGACGTTAGCTTTGGTACACTAGTCGTCTTAGCAAGGAAAACTCCAATTAGTAGAAAAGTTAAATGAACTAAAATCAGGTTGCGGATATTCAACTGCGCCGCAGAACCGTTAAAGCCCACATTTCTAATCGGATTGGCAGAATCGTTCAGGCACCGTGTTCTTATGAAGTGGAGGACAAATTATCTCTGACGTCAGTACGAGTGCCAGTGAATCTGTTGAGACTATTATAGGGGACAAAACACTGTTGATTAGAGCCGCCACGTTTGACTGCTGCTTTTTGTTTCCAGGCCCACTGATACGTTAGTGAAGCATCCCGACCCCCGCTTAACAAGTAACATTTTGCAATGTATCCTTAGAATATTCACCAGAGGAGCCAGAGTGCAAACCCAGTGAGACTTTATGCAGTAGAAGCATTGGGAAAATAATTTGTGACGGGTATGTCACAACTCCATGGCGAGATCGCAGTGTTTCACACATTTTCACCTTCAACCAACAAACCATAAGCGAAGAAACTCTTCCAAATAATTTACCAGCAGTAGGGTGTAGAGAATTGTATGACCTCTTCCCTGCCTTTCCTTCAAAAGGAGGAAACTGTTGATGTAACCCTGGTGTTGAGCCCTGTGGGTTAAACTATTACTCCACTACCTGAACTTTGGACTGAATAAAATACTGAACAGACTTGAGCGTATGCACGGATACAAAAGACTTATTCAAAACGTGGTAACATTTGGATAACAACGTTATCTGTACACCATCTGCTCAGGTTCTTCTGTAATGAAACAAGAAGTGAAGCTGAACCCCGAAAGCAGAATAAACGATGGCGAGCACACAAAAAGCTGAGAAAGAAACTCAGTGATCCCATCGGGCCAAATTACAAGCTCTCCTGGGACGGAGAACCCAAGCGGGACATTGCGTGAGGAAAAAATGGGCAACAAATGGGCGGTCAGGCCAGCGCTAACTTGGAGCGTGGAAACACGGCCTTGCTGAAGTCCAGCAACATGGATGAAAAAGAAATAAAATAGGGAATAAATGTTTGCGCCCAATGAAGCAAATGAGGGTTTGGCCACGTTACTCGACCCTGGCGCACAATAACGTCACACCTGCCAACACGAAATTAAGAGCAGCTAACTTTAGAGCATGGAAAGGCCTCGGGCGACCCCCTCCGACTACCACAACCTTCAGGGGCGATACAACCGGGTACATAACCCCTAAAAGAGGTCACCAACTAGAACAACATGTGAATCAAAGGGCAACCACACGTTTGTCTTATTCGTGGCCTGTTTTTCACACCAATCGTGATACTTCAAAAGGAATGGACTTATAAAAAAACATTTTTTTAAAAAGTATCAGACCCTGATTAGCTGCTTGGTAAAGCTAATTGCTTAATCTCACATACCACACATACCGGGTCTTAATACTTTAATCAGATTAGCCCCTTTTGTCAGTTGAGGGACCTATGATGTTAGCAATACAAAAACTCCACATGGATCAAGATTCAATGGGTACAAAGAAGACACTCGTCCTTTAAGGACGAGCTTTGCCTCCAGGGTTCTCTGCACCATGACTCGCACTGCCATCGAGCAATGTTCACCCAAGTGTGTGCAAGAGAGATAGTGAGAGTAAAGTTAGGGAACGCCCTTCTGGGAACGACAACTGAACTTCTTGGTCTAAATGAGGAGAGGACAGCACACATATTAATGAGGAAGTTGGATCTTATTTACACATGAGCAATCAAGGCCAGACTGAATGAAAAAATGTGAAACAACCTGCTCATCACGTTCCTAGAAAACAAAGCACACCGAATGAAGGACACTTTTCCAATAATAGCCGTGCAAGCAATTCAATGTCAGCATTTCACAAGGTGATTTAATATTGCTCATTAAAAAGTATGTAAGTTTAACAAATAATTTTGGAAAAATTTTTGGAATCTGTGGCAAGACTTTTGGTCTAACATTACAACACAACTGTTGAGAACACTTTACTGAGAGGAGAAGTCAGCGGTGAGATCGCCAACCGACATCTACAAGTTACTGACTAGTCAGTAAAACGCCTACTAACCAAAAACCTGTTGCATTTGATAAAACCATATAAAAAGAAAACTCACTCCATCACTCAAGGAGAGCGTCATGATCTCGTTACACAAGAGTTTTGGGTAATCTGGGCGCCTTGTATACAAATAAATGTGTCTAACTGGTAGTTGGGCCTGAACAGGCCTGAAACTTTTTTCTTTTTTTACAAATACAGTATGCACCGGTGTAGACAACGGGATTAAGTCAAGCTCAACAGAAACAGGACATTTTCAGAGGAAAAACATTGTCGATGGGAAGGGAGAAGTATGGTGTGGGAAAAATGGTGAGAAAAAGTCTGCGACGGTTTGTTAGAGTCATTGTCCTGTGCCAAATCAAATCATGTGAGAGTCACAATGGGGGGAAGGCAGCTGATGGGGAAAAAAAGGGCCAGAAGAACAGAGGCAGGCAAATCCCGTGCTGTGGTCCAGTATAAGCGTAAAAACAGCAGCGGATTCTGAATTACAGACATTGGCTGCAGGAAAAGATGCGGTTTCATTCTATGCATGAGGCATTTGCAGCGGTTTTGCCCTTTTCCTACTATAATACAGGTTCTGGTAGTCCGGTCTCCGGTGTGCACAGGGATCCCACCAGATGGCACCAGGGTGTAAGGTGCACTTGACATGTGGTCCTTAAAGTGTGAGGAGGCAGGAAAAGACGCGCAATAAATAATCATATAAACTGTTTTTATTGTCAAAGGGACCTTCTATGTAAAATAAAGGCAACTGTTTTACGTCGCTTGTGACCTTGAAAGACTATACATTGTTGGAGGGGTTTGACAAAGGGTGACAAACGTGTGAGTGAAACACCTCATCTATGCTTCAAGGTCAGTAAAAACAGCGTAATGTCTCCCCTGTGACCCCGCCGAGGGGTTATTCGGGGATTGGAGTTGGGGGGGGGGCGCGCGCTGAACGTGACTACCGGCTTCTCCTGTCATGGCTCCCTCGTTACAACCGACAGAACACTCCGCTTCGAATTACATCGCGGCGAAGAGACACGCGGCGCGAGAAGAGTCCTTGAACCGGGCTCGAACGGGTCCTACATACACACGTCTTTCCTCGCGGGGGGGGGGGGACATATTTTGAACAGTCTTCCATCTACCCGCGCTAAAAAGAAAAGAAACGCGTGTTTCCTTCGGCAGTCTTGTGCGGTTGGCTTCATTTTTCGGTGCAACACGCTCCTCCGGCTCGGTTTGAACTATCGCAGCTAAGCGATAAAAAGCTCACCTTTTTTTCTTCTCCAAGACACACTGACTTCTTCTTCTTCTGTGACAGCCCTTGACACGAGGTCGCTCCTCCAGGTGCTTTCTTCCGTCTCGCGCTGTTCGGCCGGTGCCCTTGAGCACGTTGCCTCGATTTATATCTCGGATTGGCCGGCGCTCGCTACGGAGGCCCTACGTCACTTCCGCGTCACGTCACGTCATCCACTAGGCTTCTGCCAGTGCGGTTTATATACGGCGCTCATTACAATGGAGAAGTAGAAGGCGGTAGGGTAATAACGTGTCCGGGTAGATAACAACAAAAGACTGTTGAATACAACTTTGCTGTCTCCCGTTTGTGGCGGAAAGTATGTCAGGTATTTCTTAAAAGTTTCTACTTTAAATATGGCCACAGGGGAAGCATTGTCCATAAGTCCTCTGTAAATACAATAGCCATTCTAGTGAAGATAAATAAAAAAGTAAAAATAATGAGACATTTGCCGCTCATGTTGCATACTGCAGACTATACTACAGATTTTTAAGTTGAAATATAAATAACCACCCAAGTATTTTAGTATGGAAGGAAGTCTAGGCATCACAGAGTCACGGATCACCTTGAACCCACTGCTCCCATCTGCAGCTCACCTTGAAGCGAGAACAAAATAACACCAGAGTGCAGGCTGTTCACGCTCTTGCAGTCCACAAAATGAGGTTTACTTTACGCTGCAGCTGTGAAAATATCAGCCCTAGCTCTGTAGGCCTGTTTAGTTTGGTCATTCATGTGCTGACTAAGTCAGAAGTACAGATTTTCTTTTCCAGTTAATTCTTTCTGGGGCTGTCTCGCCTCATTTTTTTAATACACACATGAGCTGTAAATGTGCAAAGGCCGACATAGTCTGATTGGCCTTTATGTAACAGAAAAAACACAACTCCCTTCCCAGCACCATAACATTGAGACAAAATTGATAATGCTGTTACTAAACCACCCAGATTTATGTCAATACAGACATGCTTGACAGATCAACAGCTACTGGGATTGGGCATTGGCGGTGGGCATGGCAGAAAGCGGGCGCCAGTGTAGGTAAATTATTACTAAATCTTTGTAAACATTGTTCTTCTGCAATGCCATTTATTTACCATCACTTTTAATTATTGATTCTTGAACCAAACAGCCTTAATAAGGTTGTGTTGCTGTCCCTATAATTTCTCTTTTGGGTCCCCGGTAATTACATGTTTATGCCTGCTGCCAAGCTGCCAGTGTGTATTTTGTGCAAACCAGTCATTGGGAGGTCTTAATAATTTTCCCACGTCATCATTTTCCCACATCTTTGGTCACTTTCCACCTGTTATACAATTCCAGTGACACACTCTCTCTATCTCTATTGACCCAGGTAGATATAAACAACAACTATCCCCTTGAACCTTACTTTATACTGTGAACTCTTTCACAATCCTGCATGAACTGTGCATCTCCTCCGCATAAAAACAGATATATTTTTAAGTGTTTCTCATGTTTGTTCATATTTTCTTTTGCAGATTTTTCTTTTTATTGTCAAGTTTTGCACTGAAAATGTTAGTGCCCAGATTACACAAACAAAGTTGCTATATATCTCCTGCTAAACAAAACGGTGGATATGATAGCAATGGATTTTTGTTTTCTCTTAGGAACAGCTATTCAAAGATTTATAGTTCTGAAAGTTCAACTGCATTTTGTGGAAAAAGTCGTTGCTGTAGTTTCCTTCAGTGATGGGCCGAGAATGTAAACGTCACCATAGAGACTGCCCGCGGGATTTAATCCTCTCTTTTTTCTCTGTCATTACCTGACACTGGCTGGTGTTAGGCAACAGGTTGAATTGTACCTCTGACATCTTAGAGGTGGACGGCACAGCGTGCTCACACATTTCCATCTGAGGCCGCCGCTCACGGCGCTGTAAAAATACTCAGACTGTGCGAAAACAGTAACGGAAAAGTTTTCTCAGAAAAACCCCAATAATATTGCAAGGTGGTGGTGGTTCTGGTGGTGGTTCTGGACTCTCACTGGAAATGTCTGTTTTTTATTTTAATTCACTAAGAAACGCAGAATCAGAAGGCTGCAAGCTCAAACCACTGTGCTGAAATGATTGAGAAACACATCATGCAACACAGCAGTTCCCTCCTGAGACACGGAAACACTGTCTTTTGCAAATAGATATCACTCCAACAGACACGGGGAAGTCAAACCGTTTAAATCAGATTATTTCGGAGGAACATTTCGTGTCTCGAAGGAGCTCAGACCTGTTTTAGAGGGAAATGTGTTTACTGTAATGCTGCAAAGTCCTATTTAAAAACTGTTTGGTGTACTCTTCAAAAAGAACGGTAAACCTAATTATGAGGCTTTGCAGGATGTAAACTCAGCGGCGGGGATCCCGTCTTTGAGGGTGGTCTCGAGTCGACCACAGCTGGACTGTAATCGTTCATGGATAAAGTCTTATGTTGTGGGATCTGACAAAACAAGCTCCTTGACTATTCCTCCTAGACATTTAATTACAATATAGTGATTCCCAAAGGACAGAGATCATTTTCATGCTTTGTATTTCTCGTATGCAATATAAAAAAACTTGAGGGAAACTAAGTTAGTGGATAAAACAACTTATCTTCTGTGTTTATGCTTTGTGTTTTCTCAAGCATGAATTGGTTTCAAACATCATTGTGAAATGAATCTGGTGAAAGCCTACGCACTGCAGATGTGCACGGGCTAATGACCGACGTGGTTTAATTCAGAGGAAAGGGCTCACCCATCTGGTTTATGGTTAACTTGGAAAATTCAGTCCTTAACGAATCCAATTTGGGTGTTTGGCCTTGAGAGTTCTTTTTCCTTCGGGAAACCCTGATTCTGCAGCTGCTGACACAGACGGTCCTACACGACCACAACGCACACCTGCAAGGGGGAAGTGGAAGAAACCAAGAGGTTTCATGCATAACCTATTATAATTATATGATATAAACGGGCACTGCCAAAACTAGTTCAACCACCCTGTTTGGTGTCAAGCAATTCTCTGTGGAATAGTTACGCAATTATTAAGCAATTCAGAGCTTTTTCAACACCGTGAAAGCCAACGGTCATACAACTTTCATATATCTTAGGTTGAAAGTATAAGATGATTTTAAGGGTAATTTCCCGTCTTTCTGAAGGGATTATACAATATTGACTGTCGAGGACAGATTCTGGACGCCTGATCAAGTGTGCGAGCACCAAGCAGCTCACACTCTCTTTACTATACATACTCCCTCTCTCTCTCGCGCGCTCTCTTCGATTCCGCCTTTTTCACCTAATCATTATCTGTCGTTGCCTTCCCCCAGCCTAACAGCAATGCATCTCTTTCCCAGAAAAGACATCCTTATCGCCGTCCCACCCATGAGCTTTACGGTTGGGGGGGGAGGGAGCCCACAGACAATCTACAATCAACACAGTACAATCAACCTCCTGCACTATGCTTGTGTGAGACAATGGGAGGCGACATCTAGATTATGTGAAGGTGTCACAGCAGCTCCGAACGAAATGATAGCTGCATCTTGTAAGGTATTTCCAGCACAACATACAAGGAAGCAGAGAGGGTATTTATAGCAACAATTCTGAGCAGTAGCAGACAGTTAATTTATTTCCTTCCCAGCACACACAGAGCATGCATACCAGTAGAATGACAAGAAGTAGGTTAAAAAAAACCCGAAAGATTTGCACAGGATTCCCATAACTCAATTACTCTCCAAATCACACATGTACTAATGCATGTATTAGTACATAAATGTCACCGATGCTGTGCGGAGATCGGATGATGCAACTCTCAGTTGAGATGAGAGCAGTTGGTGTTCTTGGGAGGGTTGCACATCTTTCTAGGTTTTTTCGGTGTGCTGCAGACGATTGATAAGCTATCTGTCTAAAAACAGGGCCCAGTCTATACACACAGGGCTGGGCTCCAGAATACTCTGACATCTTTGGTTAGGTAATAACCCACGTTGCTTTAGGACGGAGGTGAACTGAATGGTCTGATAGCTGTTTTCAGCATGTAGCCTCCAGAGGTGTGTATGCTTGCAATTACATGAGTCCAGTCATGCAAGAGCTTTTCCTGGTTAATCTACTTAATTTCATTTTAATTTAAGAGTCTTGTTCAATGTGCATTGTTACTTTTTTTTACCTCCTAAATAATCTAACATTTGTCCACAATGACCAGCTCCTAAACTCTCATTCCATTCAGTAATAAAGCAGCACATAGTATGGGCTTAAAGTATAATAAAGCCTACGAGTTCTCGGTCTCTGAAATAATGTGCTTTGCAGAAAGCTGGTGTGACACATTTGGACTGAGACAAAAGCGACCACAAGTGGTTGTCGTGACGAACAACACCAACAGTGAGGTAAAAAAATATTTATTGACAAACGTGTCAGCCTCACAGACTATTAGCAGAAGCATATCTGCTCGTTAACATTATAACACATAAACATCACTCACACATACATTCATTGATTCATGCACAGCAAAAACGCATACGCACACACACAGGACTTCACATCTGCAAACCAGTTTGACATTTCTTTCAGTGGCTGGGCCTGAAGGGGAACTGCATCCCCGTCATGAAGGGCTGAGCGGGGTACTGCGGGTGAGAGGAGGCTAGAGGCGGGTGCGGGGTGTGTGTCGGGTGGCTGGCGATGGGGGAATGAGAAGCGTGCGGGCTGAAGGCCAGTGGGGGTGTGTGGATGTTGTTGTAGTACAGCACCGGGCCCGACAACACCAACTGGAGCAAACTGCAAGACGCAAAGACAAAAATGTTGATGTGGAACAAAAAAGTACTTCATTCATCTTCATTCGTAGGCACAAGTAATAAATCACAACAAAAGGACTTATTTTACAACGTATTTTACTTAAATTGGTGACTCTTTCGTCGGTGAGTGCTGATCGTTTTCGATTTACATGCAAATTACCATTTTTCTGTCAAAAACTATGAAACACTGTTCTTAAAAAGGGACGGCACGGCCCACAAAAACTTATATTCCTAGATATTGCCCATAAAAATGTCAGCCTTCTCTTAAATGTAATGGGACACGATAGAACTGCTATTTTTAGCTACAATTTTCAGTGGAGAAGCAAAGGAGAATCTATTTGTGGAGATGCGGCTTGTTTTATGGGCAAGCCGTGATGCCAGCTAGCTCAGGAGTGCTAGGTGAGCTAGCATGAGAGAGTATAAATCCACACTCCCGTCTGCGCTCTGTTGTGGTTGGCGGTCATGGTTCAAAAGAAAGAAAATAGATGGTAAATTAACCCTCCCACAACAATGCCTGTGGATATCTTCCAATATATATGTTTGGGCACTTTGAGTACCACAGGCCGAGTGCCATTGAGTCCCCTTACATTCAGGGGAAGGCAGACATTTCTGCAGCGGATAAATGGCCTGGCAACTCACATCTAAACAATTTAGACTTAATAGCACTACAGGTCAGAGGAAAATGTGTATTTGGGATTTTGGGTAAACTTTTTCAAGGAAAGGTTGCAGGATTGTATATACTCTCCATAGGCAGAGGACCCTAAAGTTGACAGTGTGCTTATGATGCTCTTGTTCTCGCTCTGGCTGAAACCTGGTTACCATGGAAATTGTTCCAACGTAAAAGGGCACTGGACAGTTAATGGTTCTTACTTATTGTGTGGCAGGCGGGAACAGATGGCTCTCAGGTCCTCTGTAGAGAAAAGGCAGCGTGAAAAAGAAGCACTCGAACACCACCACAGCGCGGTGTGAAAATACAGCTGATTAAACCGGTTAGTCAGTTGTTTTATCATTGATTATTCACGACACATTTGTTAAAAATTATGTGGAAGCCTGACATTCATTTGAGGTGTAGTAACTAAAAAAGGCACCGGCAAGGAAACAATGAGACTATTTGACTTACGTCACCCTGAGAAAAATGCTCTTAACTGTAATATTAGTTATTAATGTAGATCGCCCTGGTGTGAGTTGTCTAGTCCTGAAGACACAATCTTTAGAGATGCCATCCTTCTTTCCCTTATAATGACACTATAAGTCACAGCTTGTAGTGCTCAAAAAGACAATTTCTATAAACCATGACCTGATTACTCAAGACAATCCAGACCTTATTGTGGGTAGTATCTTGTAGGAAAAGAAAACAGTTCCATATGGTTTGATTGGAAAGCAGAGATCTCTAAGGCGGACATTTCCAAAACCAAGCAACTCACACCATTGATAAATAGTGCTGCTGGTGAGAGGAAGGATGTGCGTTTGATTGTAAACGGAGCTGTATTCAAATATTTGTTTAATTAATTGCAGTCCCTGGCCCCTGTGATCAAACCACCGTGCCTTTGAGGCAACATATTACAAGGAAAACATTCTTAATTATAATCAAATTCCTCTTCATCCACTTTTCGAGCCTCCACATCTGTACCACTTAGGTCTTCGTTTTAACAAATCGTACCTCTCGAGCAGAGTAGAGCTCCATTGGCCATGGCCACCTGCAGGGCCTGAGCCAGCCGGTCCAGTGCCAGCTCCGAGAGGTCAGAAGAATCCGTGGACGACGTGTGAGTGTGTTTGTCGGCCTGGTCCAACAGCCTGGAGAGGTCTGAGGTCAGTGCAGCCAGGGACTCCACCTGGAGCAGTGCTAGGCGACCAAAAAGCCCCTTCTCATTCAGTATGTTTGGCAAAAGCATGAGCACCTACATGTGGGACAAAAGAGACAACAGTTTTGTTATCTTCAATGTGCATGTTGGAAGTGTTTTGTGTACTTCATATACATACATACTGTTACGGTAAATTGATCTATAGACACACCTGTAGGACGCTCAGATGGAGAGCAGAGAAAAGAGGCCCCACCTCCAGTTCACACTCAGCAGACCCATTAGTTAACCCCTTCTTCTTGTCTCTGCTGTAGATCAGGGAGGCTTTGACGCACCAGCGCATCAGGCCCCCCAAGGGCGTGACGTCAAGCGAGCTGATTGGCTGATTGCCAGAGAGGGCCGTGTTCAGGAAGTTGATTAGGACCAGACCAGGGTCCTCTTGGATCCACGACACAATCATCTGGAGGAGTTCCAGAGGAGGGGTGAGCTCCTCTGAAAACAAAAAAAAAACACGCAAAAATGTTATGGTTGAAAAACATTTGACATTTCTAATTCTTTGCAAAATATGTTGATGACAAAACGCAGTCCTCCTGCCAGAAAAAAAGATTGTATTGTTATTGAATCTCTTTTTATTGTTCTTCAGTTGCATTTTTTAGATGTTTTTGTGGCATTTCTGTTGTACAACCTGTGGTGAGGTCATAGAGGGTGGTGACAGCGGTGATGAACTGGCAGCAGAAGCGCGGGCTTGCGTTATGGATGTTCTGCAGGGTGGGCCCCGAGCCTGGCACCATACTACAGTAGTCGTCTACTAGAACCTGAGCCAGGCGCACGCAGTACCCACGATGGGTTCTCTGAATGGATTAAACACATCACCACAGGCATATTGTTTGGGTAACGCCATAGTACACAAACATATCCAGGCCGTAGATCGTTAAAATATACCCCTCAATTAATGCTCCATCCGGAGTAGCCTAAGATTCATGGTCTAAACCTCAAATTGCATGGAAGCTAAATATGCAAACACAACGCATAATGCACAATCTGTGTGAAAGTTAGTCTGAATACCAACCTGTAACCAGGTAGCAGCACATTCCAAGATGGGAACCCTGCCCACAGCGATTGCCATGGAGACCAGCTTGCCTAACAGCGACATGCGACTTTCGTCTGCCTGGTTGCCTTGGAGATTGAAGAGGGCAGAGAACATGAGCTGGCGGACAGTATCGCGGCTCTGTTCCTGAAAACAGCTGCACATGATCTCCAAAAGCTGTAGCTCCTGCAGAGCACTCATCCGCTGAAAGAAAAACACATAAAATCCATACTTTTGCGTTTATGTACTGCATGTTGGCACAAGTGTGTGTGTGTGGGTCACGCCTTACCCTGGCTGGCGTGTTTCTGTCCTTGGGCGCATGCAGAATGAACTCCTCGACCAGCTCCTGGGTCTTGGAGTCGACCTGAGGAGGCTGCCTCCCTGACTGCACCACGTTGCAGATGTAGATGTCCAGGTGATACAGCAGCTCCTTGGCTGCACTCAGCACATCGCGAGGCAGCAACGACTGACGAATGTCACCCATCGCCACCGCAACCGGAGACCCGTACAAAACCGCTGAGGAGTTTTCAACACTCAATGAGAGTATGAACTCGGGCGTGACGTTGCACGATGAGATGGGAGATGCTTCTCGTCAACTGCGGAGAAAGAAAGCGAACATAAACAAACCCAGCTGTAAAACGACAGTGCTGATTCCGAGCCTATGTTTACGACACGAAATAGACAAGCACGAAATAGCGTCACTCCGCAGCGTTGTACTAACTACTAGAGTGGTACTAACGTTACGTTTCTACACAGTCATAGATGTTAAGTCAACAGCTCTCCCATCAGTCGTTTCTCCTCCAGCCTGCTGCTGCTGCTGGTTAGCAAGGTTAGCTAAATACACTATTTTGAATTGCGCCACCAATCTTTCGTACGTTATCAAACGTAATAGTTGAAGCCTTCTTTTTAAGAAACACGTGTGTGTAGTTAGTTTATGTCTCACCTCTGCAATACGCTCTTAATACACTTAAACAATTAGCCGACGCTAGCTGAGACTAGTGAATGGTGTCCTGACGCCAACAGCTCCACTTCCTGCTACTACGGAAGCCTGTGAGGAATCAACGGTTGGGCCATGCACGTTTCTATCCGAGTCGTTACAACAGACTATTCACCCCTCTCACAATTAGGCCACATAAAATAAAATAGATAAAATAGATATTTTTTATATTTTATTATATGGCTTTATAAAAAAAATATTCAGTTGAAGTATTTGTATTTAAGTATTTAGACTATTTTATTATGGAAACTTTTTTGGGGGGAGCAAAATGTTTGATAGTGGTGGTGCTGAATGGCCAAAACAAACTTTATAAATATAATACAAAATACCATTTGGGGAATCACATTCATAGCGTAATCGGGGCTAATCGACACGGGGGCGCGCGCGAGGCACCGGACCGCCCGATGAGAGAAAAAAAAAGAGAACAGTGGCGCACGCTGCTGCGCGCTCCCGCCAGCACTTCTGCGCTCTTGCACTTTACGGTCCCGTCGAGTGAGATGCCAAGCAGCCCGCAAGATGACCATCAACACCCTGGCTAGAGGAGGCTGGGACCGGGAACAAATGGCATGCTTTCAAAAGGTATGTTCCAATGATTGTGTCTACTTTATTTATTTTAAGCGATAAACTATGACATAATGTTTGAAGCCGAAAATGCACATCCGGTGCGAGGATGAGATCAAGTTAAGAAAGGGTGGAACGTCAAGATGTGCATTTTATTTTACCCATGTATGTTTATTTTTTTATTTTGTGTGTATCCCATCTGTGTGTGCGTGCTGTTTTGTGTATGCATGAATGTGTGTGTGTGTGTGTGTGTGTGTGTGTGTGTGCCTGTCTCCTTTACAGATGGAGAAAGTGATTGTGGCAATGCAGGACCCCGACATGGGCATGAAGATGAGAAACCAGAGGCTTCTTATCACTGTCATTCCACACGCCATGACAGGTGCGTGCGTTCATGCGGCCCTTCGTGTCACAGGGCCTCAGCGTCTATGTGTGGATATGCAGGTTGCAGCCCGTGTTTGTCCCAGCGATCATGCATAATGCAGCCGGGTTTTTTTTTGGAGAATACTTTGTACTTTGCAGAGTACAGGGGGGAGATTTGTCCTATTTTCTTGTCTCCTTTATTTCTGTTATTCTTTTCTTCTTCTTCAGGCCGTGATATGATTACCTGGTTGATCCAGAAATACTGCATCTGTGAGGAAGGTAAGTGTGTGGATACACATATTGACTCTTAATACGATAAAGAGAGAGAGTATTTGCTGTCATACTCTCTCTCTGCTTTTCTCGCACTCTGTGTGTTGTTGTTAGTGTGTTGCCAGGATATGGTGTTTTCTCTCATTCTGTCGTGGTGAGTTTTGTCTGTGTGTGTGTGTGTGTGTGTGTAATGTGTGTGTTGCGGTTTCAAGTAAACAGAACCGGGTGAACCCCAGAGGAACCAAGTTTGATTAGCTCACCTGATGATCTGGGTTTGATTAGCGTCCCTGTGGTAGGTTTTTCTCCCCCTCGTGAGACTTTATCCTATACATAAAGTGAATTAGAGGTCGGAAAAATAGCCCCGTGGTCCCTTTTGCCTCAGAGCAAACGGAAGGAGGAAAGCGAAGAGCCAGTCAGCAGGGGAGAGAGGGTGGTAAGAGCTGATTAAAATGCATTGCATGGCTTTTTTTGGTAGCCGTCAGTCGTGGAAGCAGGGCTCTTTAACAAATGAGGAGTCTGGAGATTGATGACGCGTTTCATCACTGGGGTCAATGCCTTTCATTTGAGAGGGATTGCCGAGAGGGCGCAGGTGTGTATTTTTAATAAATAAATGAGGGATTCGGCCCAAAGTATTTTCTGATTGATTGACTGATTTTCCGTGTGCCGAATTTGAGAGCTTTCCCACTAATAAATATTTCTTGTGCCACCAAAAAATCAGGCAGGGATAAACCTGCCATACATCTGTGTAAAGTGGCAGTAAAAGGCCGGGTGAACTGCTTTATTGAATACAGCCCCACAGTTACCTACAAAGAAAGTGAAAGGACGAGGAACTGTGTGATGAGTTGTGTCTTCTGTGGTATTTAACAGAGGCACTGCACATAAGTGGGATGCTGGTGAGGTACGGGTACGTTTACCCTCTCAAAGAGCCGAGATCTCTCGTATTACGGCCCGACGAGTCACCCTACCGCTTCCAGGTAAATTGGCCTTCCCTCACGCAGTATGTTTAGTCTGTCTGCTTGTGAAAACCCACCGTTCCTCCTTCCTGTTTAAGCGCTTTACCACTTTTGACTGAAGCGATCGGCGGCTTCCTTTCTTTCCATTCCCCTCCATTAGCCCACTTTCTAATTTCCCATCGATCTCATTCTTTTTAGATCAACCGCTTCACAATGAATCTCGATCATAAATGTAAAAAAGTCACTTGTTTTTCTTAGACGCCGTACTTCTGGACGAGTACCCGGTGGCCCGCGTCAGAGCTGGACTATGGTAAGAAGCCAAAAGAAAGCTTCTAATTAAATAAAAATAATTCTGATAAGCATTTACAGAAGTTTTGATTAATATATAGATCACCTTACAAGTCTCTTAATCTATTTCCTTTATGGATAAACTCTTTTCCTTCTTATATGCCATCAGCAATCTATTTGGCTAAAAAGAACATAAGAAAACAAGGAGAACTGATGGAGTATGAAAAGGTGAGGAAAGTGTGTGTGTTTGTGTGTCAGAGAGAGAAGACGTGTGTGTGTGTGTGTGTGTTGTTATTGATGCATTAGCCCAGGCTAACGGGCCTGTGCCACTATTATTTTTCTATGTGTGTTTTTGTTTTTCGTATCCATCCCTTGTCCTCGTCCCTCTTCCTTTTTAGGAGAGGTACAGCGTGTTACACAAGAGGATCAACCACACCTGGGACTTTGTTGTGATGCAAGCCAGAGAGCAACTCCGGTACACAAGACAAACACACACACACTTACATAATCACACACTCAAAGACACACAAACATAAACGTACAGTGTGATTTATGTTTAGAGCATCCAAACAGAGGAGGAAGGCCGACCGTATTGTTCTAGAATGTCAGGAGCAGGCGTACTGGCTCATCAACAGACCGCAGGTAAGTTGCTGTTTGTCTACTCGATTGTGTTTGTGTTAGACTGTGTACTATTTTACACAACACTATACTAGCTTGGCATAAATAAACTACAATACTAAGTATACAATAATATACTACACTAAATAGTATAATTTTATTGTTATATTGCTCTTTATCATACATCATGGTATAATGCTGTGCTGTATACACTCCACTGTAGTATACTGCATTACTAATTATACTGTATATTCTCATACTGTACAATGCATTATACTACACTATACTGCCCTATTTAATACATGACTCGGCTATACTATACTACAACTGCATATACAGTACTGCATGTGGCCATACTGTTCAATGTGCTCTGATAAACTATACATCAAAATGCTATTTTATCTAATTCAACTTAAGAAACATGTTTTACTGAATTTAAAATGTTCACTCGGGTCTTTCTGCCTCAACATGAAATATTCAGCCCATCTGATAAAAATAAAGGAAACAGAGAGACAGAGAGTGAGACGTAGACTAGAGGGGTGAAGGGTTTGGGGGAGGCACTGCATCTTGTCCTGCCTTTATGAATTAGGGACGAGGACATGGAGAAAAAGAAAGAGAAGCTTAAGAGTAAAAATCAAAGCCGGTGGAGTGGAAAGCTCGAGGAAGGATAAGTGCTCACTCACACGCATGTTCTCATCAGACACACACATGTTCTACCCTTAGTTATTAATACGCGCGTGTGTGTGTTTCTTTCAGCCCGGGGCACATAATGTGTTGGACATGGGTCTGGAGAGACCAAATAACTTGAGCGCACGGGTTACACTGGTCAGTGACATCATCACGTTTCTTTATGTCTCCTATGTGCCCGTTCCGTCCCTATTTGATTGTTGTCCTTCTGTCTTGCTGCCGGGATTGTCGCAAAAGTAAGTGTGAAAGTAAGCGTTTCTATAGTATGGATAATGACATATGTATAATTATGAACACAGGTTGAACATGACATCATAGCGCCTTCCTTGACACACATGTAGGTGATCACTGATTAGAGCTGTTTCTAATTTGGTAGCAGACGCACAAAATAATAGCTGCCCGTGATGACCGGTATATAATCTTACACTTCCTTATTGGTCAGAATGTATCCTGCTTTAATATTTAAACCCATTGGTTTAATGGGTGAACACATACCAGCTATTGATATAAATGTATAAATGTACGACGTGGTCATCGTGAGACCCAAAGTGATGACAGTGTGTTTCTCTTAACAGAACCAGAACAGTGATTTCTACAAAAGTGAGGTAAAAAGCACATGTAATGTAAACACCCTGGACTATAAGCACATTGAGTGTACATCATTCAGCTCTCTTTGTGTCTACGTTAACAGATTGAAACCTGCCGAAGGGCCCTGGGAAGAAACCGTGTCAAGTCATCCATCTGCCTAGAAAGGTATGTGTCAATTTGACAGACAAAACACACATACACACACACACACACACACACACACACACACACAGTCCCTGTGCCTGAACCGAGCTCTACGTCTTAAGCGTGCGCGCGCACATATGTGCACGTAAGGCTTAGTGCCACTAATGGATGCTTCCCGAAGCGAGTAAGAGCCAATAAACCCGTAGGATCTGCTGCATTAATCCAATGGAGCTGTGTGTGTGTGTGTGTGTGTTTTTGTGTATGATGTGCATGTGCAGCTTTGTGAAATACAGCGAGCAGTACCAGAACCACGACCCCATTATGCAAGGCTGCCTTCCCAGTAACCCCTGGATCTCCGACGACACCGCGCATTGGACAATGAATTTACAAATGTGAGAAAACACACACAGATACACACGCGTGCTTGGACATTTAGTTCTGCTGGTTCCAGCTTTCGCTGCACCTGTTGACCTGTCAATTAACGGTTTGCGTACAAAGTTACCACAGTAATTCGCGGTGATGCGGATGTGTTGATGGTGCGTTGTCATGAGCAGAGTTCCAATACCGTCACGTCTAAGAGTGGAACGCTGGAGCTTCAGTTTCATGGAGCTTCTCAACGACATCATGGGGAGGCGGGAGTTCATGATCTACCTGGAGAAAGAGTTCAGCGGTAAGGAAGAGGGGCTCAGGTGTTATATTAATTCATTCAAAAGCATAAACATGGAAGCATAAACATGGAAACATGGGGATGTTGTTCGAGTCTAAAAATATCCCTTATCCGGAAACAAGCTTCTGTTTTTACAGGGTGAGTCACAACCATCACCGAGTGCATCACGATAATAGAGAGAGAGAAATTAATATAATTGTTTTAGAGGACAGCCAACCTGAACTCTCATTAGTATTCAGAATTTCATCATTTCCCCAAATGACATTTTCCAATCCCAGCAGGGAAAAAACGGAGGCGTTAAGGTAGTGGAAGAGAAGACGTGGCCGTGTGCACTGATGCACACTTATGAAACGTTGCAGTGCGTCACGGTTTTTCCACAGATATTAAACGCTCTGTTTGTCACGTTGTCCTCCGTACGCACCCAACATCTCACCCTGCGTCTCCCTGCTAGCGGAGAACCTGTGCTTCTGGCAGGCCTGCGAGGACATCCGGCATGGAGAAAGTTCCAGGATCGTAGAGAAGGTGGAAGAGATCTACAAGTAAGCGTACAGGCACAGGAAAACACAGGAATACACCACGCGTGCAAGTATTTACCGTCTGGTGACCGCGAGTCGTCGGTTTTGTGCGGCTCAGGAACTTCCTGACTCCCGGAGCTGCTCGGTGGGTCAACGTGGACAGCAAGACGATGGATAAAACGCTAAAAGGGATCAGACATCCGCACCGATTCGTCATGGACGACGCGCAGATGCACATCTACTTTCTCATGAAGAAGGTTTGACCTCTGACACGCTGCAATTTGATATTTGAGACGTTTACCGTTTAAGTATTAATCAGAAATAACAGGACTTCACTGTCTGTTTTGACCAAAAACACATAATAATCTGGCCAATTATTTCCCAAACAGGCCGGGTCTTCCAGGCATCCAAGTGTTTTAATTAGTTTCAATGGAGCTATGAAGATCTTTTAACATGCTTCAAAATTATGCTAAAAGAATCGCTATAACCAGGTATCATCGGCGTAATTATAATCGTGTGTGTGTGTGTGTTAAGGACTCTTACCCAAGATATCTAAAGTCTGACCTGTATAAGAACTTGCTGGCCAAAGCTATTGTCCCCCAGGAGACAAAGAAAAGGTAAAACTACACATTCAACTGCTCTTTCACGTTACTTCTACACGATCAGATGAATTGTCCAACCTGCCTCTTCGTCCTCTCAGCGTGTTCCCCTTCATGAGACGCCAGCGGCACTCCAGCCCCTCCCCGGCTCAGGGGGACGGACCAGCAGGGGCCGACTCTGCAGCCGGGCCCCATGTCTGATGTCCAGGAGGGCCCCAAAGAGACGCAATCTCAGTCTCCGTCGTCTGTGTTGGTCGGCGTAGTTACCGGCCAAGGACTTTTTTTTCTCCTTTCAAGCCAAACTACCCGCATCTTTTCTTTCCACCGCCGCGACAGAAGCAGACGCAGCGTGTCCTCGTCCCAGCTTCCTCCCACAGGACAGCAGCACCACATCTTACTCCCAGAGCTCGAGCAGTGGAGGAAAAAGAGCTCCGAGTGCTGCACAAACATTCTGCATCTACATCCCGCCTCAGTTTTGCTGTTGCTTTTGAATTTCTAACAAAGGTCTCCCTCATAGCCTTCGTATAGAATCTCCTCTGTCTTTCTTAAGCAGGTTTTTTTTTTTAGGAAAGTGGGATAGTTTATGGAGCAATAGGAATGTAAATATGTATTTTGTCAAAACTTTGCCTCGGCATGCGTGTGATTATCGTACCATTTGGTGGTTTTGTTTCATTCCATGCTGGAAATTGTTCGTTGTTACGGTGGTTGCTCTTCATCTTGCTCGCGCGTGTTTTCATTCCAATAAAACAAAATGTGTTTTGCTCTCAGCTCTGCATGCTGTGGTCGACTGTGTGGATGTGCTTTCCTTTTTTGTTTGTTACTTCTTTCCCTGTCACTTCCTCTCGTTCTCATCTTCTCCTTCTTTTATGTCCTCGGTTTCCTCGTGGCCCTTGGATCTATTTTTCCCACGAAGCCTTGATGTGATTTGTTTGATCATTTCTTCAGACGTGGCGGCTCTGTGATATCGAATAATAGAGCTCAAGTCACACGAAGTTGAAAAAGCAGCTGCTATTTGCAAAAACAAGGCTCAGGTCTGTTCCTTAGAGGGACATCTGTCTGCACATCGCGTTCTCTTTATCTTCTGCTTCGGTGTCTTTTTTTACACCTTTCATTTTTTATTTAATTGATCCTGTGGGAGCCGCAGTTTCCTCTGCTGGACTGGCTTCCTCTACTGGCGGAGTGCGGTCAAAGCAACCGGCATTATTTGATCTTTTAAACGGGGTCCTACGTGTTTGGGGCTCACTACGCCTCATCACAAATGACGTGTGAACATGAGTTGAGATCAGTTACAAAGCTGGATTTTTCTTTCCCAGACCCTTGTATATCAAGTGTGAGCTGACAAGCTGGAAGTATACTTCCCTTTTAAAAGAAAAAATAGCAAAAAGGAAATGACGTAATATTTACAAAAAATGAGCAGTCGTTATTTTCTTTCTCCCCCTATTAATCATCTTTATCTCAATCCCAGGGTTGGAAATCGCGTCTCTAAAACCAACACGTTTATTCAAGGGCCACCTAAATGATTTTGCGTGATGGTTAAAGTGTCCCGTTATTGACCAAAAGAAGCCCCACATAGTTGCGTGATCTATTCTACGGCTGTGGAAGAGCATTTGTTGGAAAACCTTTGATATGCACTGTTGACGAGTTGTAAACAGGAGGACATTTAGATCTTATGAAAGATATATTATGGTATCATAAAGGGAAAAGCAGGAACCATTTTCTTTAAGCTTGATTAATACCAAGGATTAAAATGTCCGGATATGTCAGCTGAAGCCTTTGCGGCTTCGGTTTTGAAAAACAGTGAGCAGGGAGGCTGGATGCTGCGGTCGTGGGTCGGCGTTGCAGGACATGAGAGCCCACTGGATTCACTAATGGACGTAAGCCGTATAAGGGCAAACAAGCACGTGCACACACACACACACACACACACACACACACACACACACACACACACACACACACACACACACACACACACACTAAAATGGGTATTTCAACATACAAGCACTTGCTATATTTCCGAGGATTACGATAATCCGCTTTCCTCCCTTAACCCTTCCACTCGTGTTGCGTGACAAGAGTGTGCGAGAGAGGAAAAAAAAAATCATTAAGCATCTCTCTTCATACCACAGATTTATTTTTTAGTGAGCTGAATGTTGTCTGGATTTTTTAATAGATTGAAAAGGAAAAATAAAAAGGAAGTAAATTCTTGTTATAGGTTGAACATCACATTTTTTCATCCTTCCACGCATGAGAGCCACAGCGTGGTGTAGTAGTGAAATGACTTTCACGCTCTTAATCAAAGGGGATTCACACAAGAGTAAAACACAATATTAAAAAAAAATAAGAAAAAAGAAAAAAGGAAGGCTGACAGAAGTGTTCAATTTGAACCGGTGCAAAATCACAACGAGAAAATCACCACTGCATCGGGCGCCTCGAATAAAACACACAGACATTCTATATGTTGCACATTGAATAAAACACAGAAAGTGCTCAGTAGCTTCACTGATGCAGCGCACGTTCATACAGAGACAGAAAAGATGAGGCACTGGACACAGTTACCTGATACATACATTCATAGTGACCACTCATACACATGGGAGCTACATACAGCACATAGTGGAGTTGGCTTTTTAAATAATAAAAGTGCTTCAGGATAAAAGTTAAAAGGTAAGATCGGTTAACATTTTGGAGTGGGAAAATAAACAGGAGATGATAAGAGAGCGGAGAGTAGACAAGAAAAGGTGCTTAATGCATACAACGCCGTGCCTCCTACTACAGGTCTACAGTACGTAAAGAAGTGCATTGTGGGAAGGCATGACATGGTAAGCAATCTACACTTTGAAGATAAAAAGCTCATCGGCTGGTAGGAAGGACAAAGCTACAGCTAAACCTATTTTAACTATTAACTATTCTAAAAGGTTGTTTAATTTAGTCATCAAGCACAACTCACGCCGGCCTGTGTGAAAACAATTTAAATAAAAGTTCAGAAAAAGCGTCTACGCCGACTATATACAATTATTGTATACTTCATCAGCGGACTCAGTAATAAGCTGGATACAAAGATTAAAAAGTAGTTTCCTTTTAAACAATAATTTCACAGCCTACATGTACACACGCAATATGTAGGAATCCCAGCAAACTGCACTACAATCCACCATCTGGGGAGAGAGCGGCATAACTTCAGGTGCTCTGTGGCACTAATGAGTGAACGTTGACATCACTTGCTCTACACGTTCACGTAGTCAGCGACGTCCCTCCCACGTTGTGTAGATGTGCTTCACTTGTTTGTATGTGTTTAATATAATTTTGCTCTTGCTCTTTGTACAATATGCTGCTCCAGCGAATAGACTCGAGATTGGTCACGCGTGAGCGCGCGCACAGACCTCGGTCGATCTACCGAGTCGGGCGCTTAGTGGGAAAAGCGGTAAGTCGAGGACAGGCACCTGATCGTAAGGTCAAAGGTCAGGGGGTGTGCCACCTGGAGGTTTTAATGTTCCTATCCTTAGTTTCGTGAAGGGACCCCCTTAAGGGTTTCAGCAGATTTGATTTGGATGAAGTCAAGTAGTGTGTGTGTGTGTGATTATTTAAGACAACGATTTATTTCATTTAAATAAAAGAGTGACAATTGAAAGCCTACGAGAATATAGGTCAAAATTTGATTTTCAAATGTTTGATTCAAGATATTAAAATATATTCATTCATTCAAAGTCTTTAAAGAGTCTCCCAAACTGATATATTTTTACCTTGTGTGAATGTGTCCCTTTGCTTCCTCGCAGCATCTCCTGTCCTACTATGTCACGGTGTAGAGTTCGTCCTTGTCGCTCTGACAGAGCGTGTAGCCACAAACCCGGGGTCTCCAGCTCCAGCTCCATCCCCTGCTCCAGCCCGACGCCTCCCTGTTCTTCTCCTTCGGCGGCAGCAGGAACACCACGCAGCTGGCCACCAGGAGGTGCCACAGCGAGTGCGTGTAGTAGTAGTTGTCCTCGGTCTCCGTGAAAATGTACAAACATACCCCGACGAGGGCGCAGGTTGCCCCGGGAATCAGGAAGAGGACCCAGCGTCTCCACGACGGCGGGTAACAGTGACGTCGCTGCACTCCTCGGTACACCTGTGGAGAAGGAAGACCTAGATTGAGCACAGCTCGGCTCCAGAGAGCTCACCGCGTTGTTAACAATCTTCACACCAACATATTCCCATCAGGTGTGCGGACTTCACGGTGTGTCTCACCCAGGCAGTGACCATGCACAGTACGGCACAGAGGACGGGACCCAACAGGTTCCAGAGGCCTTTGCGGTCCAGCTGCATTGACATGGCTATGAGCAAAGCCCCGAGCATGAACAGAGACTGCAAACACGAGAGAGAGATGATTATATACAAAGGTCCAGGCCTTATAATGTAATACTCCTCAGATAAAGTGGGATACATAGTATTACAAAGGATAAAGGCAACGGTCAGTGTCTTACATATTTGAATGCGTGTCTGATGCGAGCCATGCAGAGGATGGTGACCCAGATGGAACAGACTGAGCCCAGGAAGTCACAGTATTGTAGGGCATCGTAGTCCATTATGCACATGACTGCTACACCTGGCTGGTCACACGCGTGGTAAAACTGGAATGAGAATATAAGAGGGATAAGACGTTACGATGAATGCTACAAAACAGTTTAAATAAGAACGCCATAACATAAAATTATACTTAAAGAAGACAAACGGTTCTGTAGATACGTGGCTACATAAGTGTGCGTTACCGTGGAGAAGAACATGGTGAAAAGATAGACGGCGGCCTCAGTGATGTAAAAGCGTTTGATGGCCACCACGATGGCGGGCAGGAAGGAAAGGTTACTGAGCGTGAGCAGCAGCGTCGCTGTCAACTGGCGACTGTACGACTGAGCTGCCGAGTCATCGGTGCAGCCCCAACCGCTCCAGCCTGCACACGCGCACACACACACACACACACACACACACACACACAAGAATGTCAAACACACTACGGCAGTAAATCACAATAAAGGATACAGTGAGATTGCTTTGTAATTATCTATTTCAGTAGAATATTTTGTCTGTTGTGTGTGTGTGTGTGTGTGTGTGTGTGTGTTCTTACCAGCCTTGCAGACGCAGGCAGCGTACAGGTAGCTGTAGGATCTCAGCAATCGACATTCACCGTATGTCCCACAGTCCTCTACACAGGCACTAATGAACACCTCTGGCACCACAGACACCGACGAAGTATTACCACAGTCATTGCTGGAGAAAAAAAGTGAGAAACACACACACAAGCGCACGCACGTCTTTTAATGTGAACTAAATCAAGAGCACATGTGAATTAACATCATGGACAGGAACACGTTTACTTTAGTGTGGACGATATGTGAATCGTAAAAAGCTTTGTTGAGAGTACTCTCCATTTGAGGGAGGATGCACATAACGTCCACGTATTTACACATTTTAGATACACATTTATTGGGTATAGACCGAATGGCAAAACGTGCATGTGTGTGTGTGTGTTACCTATAGCATAAAAGCTGCAGGGTGAGGTACCATGTTGTTGACTGAGGAAAAGGGAGTCGGACCACAGCTTTGGGATCACTGGCATTCACACGAAGGCTGTACCCTCCAAACAAAGCTGCAGATGCACACAACACGTACGTGAGAAGAGACTCCAAAACTCTATTTCCAGTGTTTCTTCTATATATTTTGGTCCAGTGTATCATGAGAGATATTTCCTCATAAGAGCTTAGAGGTTCCAGCCACAACTTTCCTTTTGTCATAGCAAAGTACTGCTACTTAAGAAGCTGCAGGTAATTACAGATGTCCATTGAGCGTACATGTGAGATGATGTTATTTTTGCTACCTGTGCCACACGATTGGGAGTGGTTGAGCTGGAGGACGGGAGCCCTCGGAGAGAGACAGGCCACCACGCTGCTGCTGTTTCCCAGGGTCACATTAGTCTGCACACACACACATAAGTATACAAGTACAGCACTTAACTCTGACACTCTCAAATCTATCCTTTATCGGGACATTGTATGAGTGGATGCGTGTGCATAACTGGTACTCACAGTGTTGAGTGTGAGCTGTAGGTTCAGTGTTCCCCCGGTGGCTTGTGTGTACAGGGGATAGACCAGCAGTGTGGGGTGAGCATCGGTCACGCTGACGTTGGCCCCGCTGGCGGGTGTGAATCGGAGCGACAGAACGTCCACCTCCTCGTGGATCACGGGGATGCTCCACACACACGCCGATGCCGATCCGTTGCTCGAGGTGACCGGGTCTGCAATCACGGAGTCGTTGCTCGCTGCTGTCGAGTCGGTGGAGCTGCTGTTGCCTCGCAGCCTGCTGATGTCGTCATCTGTTTCAAGGCCAACACTCTTTGGCTTGCACCCCACTGACACACGGAACAGAACGGGTTACACACACTGGTAGGGTAGATTGGAACGCAGGCGGGACGTGTGACATTTCCTGTGTTCACCTGTGCAGTTTGAGGCGATAGTAAAGGTCACAGTGCGGTTGTCAAGTCTGCTCTCCACGACAACTCGCAACCAGGTGTCCCAAGGTGGGTTGGTAAGAGATGCAGAGCAGCCAAACCCCGAGCAGTTCACTGTTACTGGGCGGTGCTGTAGGGAAGTAGAGCCAAGCCTGAGGACCAGGGAACAGTTTCCACTGTCGGCTCCGTCCTCTGACGAACAGTCAGCCACAGAGACGGAGAGAGAGGAGGCGAACTCTGGAACATACAACCTAAGACAGACACAAATATGTGAACCGGTCCTTTATGGACTGATCAGAGAAATGTAAAACGGATTGAAGGAAGGCACCACATGGACACACGGACGGTTCTTACTTAAGGCGAGCAGGTCTGTCTGGCGCTGCGGTCTGCTGGATGATCGTGTCTGGCTGTAAAATGGGTGTATCCACTGCTCTCCTGATTGACAGCTGAGGCTGGAAGAAGTAGGAGCAAGACGGAAAGCCCTGAAAGACAAAAACAAAATAACTAAAAGAATGCAAAATAATTTAGGGGCCAATGCACAGAATAATGCAGTTCCGGAGATTATTGGGTAAAAATGTTATTAGAAATAAGAACAGGCAACCTGCTGCAATTATGAAAAGCAGTAAAATGCGGTTTAGCTACCTGCCTGCTCTGATGGAACAAGTGAATGGGAACAGTTTAGCGTGATAAAGTGCCACAATACTGCTGCTTTATTTTGGACTTTCAATGCTGAAAAAAACATTTTTTCAGAGAATAATGGACAGAAATGCCGTTGAAGTGAAAAATTACAAATCATCAGCCATCTTTCTTTATTACGTTCCTTGTGAAAAATGCAGCACTTTTAATGAGCAGTTATGTGTGGAAAAAAATAAAGCTGTATACACACCTTCTGCTCTATGCGGCCATCATCTTCGGGCAAGTGGGCACCAATATACCAATCACCGGGAGCAGGATTGGAGAGGTTAAAGGTCATTGAGCTTTGTGAAGTCACGGGGAGGATCAAAGACAGACAGGGGCTCCATAGGGTTGCATTTGGAAACACCGTCTCTGTCGGGTTGATGACTGGAGGGGCACCATATTGAATATAGCTATGAGAGACAAAGAGACAGAGAAAGAGAGACAGAGAGATAGTTTGAAAATAAGTTCCAACAAAAACTGAAAAAAAGGAGTTCAATAAATCCCAGAGAAAACGTGCGTCCGTTCTCTCTGATCTTACATGGTGACGTTATGCTGCCCACAGTGGAACGTGTGGCCCTTGGTGACGGAGAACAGCCAGCGAGCGACGGCCGTTTCCTCTGGTATGTGAAACTTCTGCAGCCTCACGTTGCCATACCAACCATACTTGGACAACTTCTGGGCTGGTTTGGACGAGAGCTCTGAGACAAATGTCACCGTTCCGTCTTTAGGGCATAAGAGATTATTGTAAGAAAGTGCACAAACACCGTTTTACTGCCAACTCTAAAAGAGTAATAATTGTATTAGTAAGTGAATAAGTAGTTTGTAAATACAAGTGGTAGAAAAATAAAAAAAATGTGAGTTCGGCAATATTAGGCTAAAACCATACAGCAGATTTATGCATCTGATAAAAACAATGAATGATACATACTATTTTTTAAATATAGAATAAGACACTGGTGAAATGTGTCCAGAGAGATGAAGAGATGCACACAGCACGTGGCAGTGATGTAGTGCTCACTTATACAATCGTTATTGCTGCTGTGGGTATGTGATGCATTTGGAGGATATCCAGCAATATGTTTGCGTATATGTGACGAATCAGGCGACCGAAGCAGAAAACAGCTGCTGATGTTAAGTAAACCACGATGCCCCAGCGGGGGCAAACCAGTAGGGACGTAAACACCGGTAAGAATAAGAATAAATACAAAAGAAATGATGTTGCACTAGCTCACTGTTTAATATTATCATCTTTAGATAAGCAATTAACTTCAGTAGTATGATTAAATTATACACAGTGTGCTACATAATGTTACGGTGAACTCGCACTTTGCGATGGTTAGCAAACATGCTAACAGCGGTTCTGTCCTCAGTCCTCCGCTCAAAACACGTACCGTCTGCTGACGTCCAAGCCGCCAGGGCCACGAAAAGGACACCGCGTAAAAGACAATACCCCATGTTTCCTTTACGGGCGTCCGAACCATTACATCGCGCTTTAACCACCTGTCATATCGAACACATCCGTCGCCACTGAAAGGTCCTTCTCACCGGACAGCATTTCTATGTAAATATGTGACGTCACGAACGGCGTTTGAGTGATGCGTTTGCGTCTCATCGGAAAAAGGAAGATCCTTCACACTGACGACCTTGAACACGTTTGCGTTTCATTGATCGTGTAATTTCAAAATAGATCATATTCAAATATTGGTAATTGACATGAACAACGACGGTTTGTTGTTGAAGAAAAACATGAATGGATCCTGCCATGGCCCTTCTGACATCTGCTGCTGTTATCGCTATCATTATTAATATTAATCACATCACATTAAAAACTTTTACCTTTGTGCTTTCCCTCCCCGCAGTTGTCTGTGGATCCCTGCAGTGCTCCTGCCTTGCACCTACTATTCTCAATATTTGAATAATTTCTGTTGTAGGAATTTATAGAAAACGGAATTTAATTGAATGTCACAGGTCCATTGTCATATACTACAAAGAGACTGGACATGATATACAATACAAACTATTATTATGAAAAATATAAGACAATCAAAGACAAACAGAGTTATTGATCAGCATCTCTGCAATTCATGTCACCAGTTTGTGAAACATTTATTAGACAAAGACATAACCATTCCGGATATTTCCTAAAGCAAAAACACACACATCAAACATTCTACATTCTAATCAAAAGAAAAAGGGAACAGAGAAGCACACATTCATCTTCGGGCACCATTAATCCCACCATAAATCCCACTGCATTACCAGCGGGTAACTGTTGAGGGGAATAGCTTCAAACTAAGTATCATACACTTAAATCTGGCTTCGTAGGAGATCATAGATATGTTATTTCATCCTGTGAGTCCACCCAGCACCACTGAGCATCGTAGCCCAACAAAGACGTGTCTCCATTAGGCGCCACCTCTTCCTCTTTCTTCGCATCATTCCGAGAGACTCTGAAACTCTGAGTTTGTTGCTTTGTCCGTGTCTCTTCTGATGGTTTAGTGAGGGAGAAAATGTCCCTCGCACTTCTTGCCTTGTGAGATCTGAGAAGAGCTCTTCTGATGGTGCCAGCATTTTTTTCGAGGTCTTGTGACGGAGCGACCTTGGAGCCCTGCGGTCGTGATTTTTGTAATTTGGCATCAACAAAAAAGTTTGCAAGACCAGGTGATGACCGACGATCGCTGCCATGAGTGACTTGGAACTTCAAGCGAGGACGAGGAGGTTTTTCTCCAGTAGACTCTGGGATCCGCAAGTCTCCATTGTGGCTTGATTCTGCATCATCAGCATGTGGTGGGTGACCAGCTGATTCCTCACCGGAGTCTTCAGTCAAATCTTGACTTGGGCTCTGGCTTTCTCTGTGGGAGAAATGACACGAATACTAAGCCACATATGAAGTAAGAGCCATGCAAATTAACACGTTTTAAGTCTACAAATCACACGTTTCAGGTGTTATAATAAGTATTGGGCTGAATTTCTGAATCTGTTTTACATTAAATATGTTCTCTTTTGAACAGTCACTGTGCCCAATATTACAACTTTAAAGTATATAATACAATTTATGTTTGTATCTCACTTATTAGCACAGACTTTGTTGTAGTTTCATTTAAGACGCGGCCACACTGAACCTGTTTGGTGCCATTCTTGTCATGGTATGACTTTGTTTAATGCACTTTCTGTACATGTCAACTTTGTTCTTAGTTGCACAATTTCTTCTAAGACATCTGCCCTGACAAATGTGTTGCATGTAATATGCATTTAACTTGTAAATATCATAATATGGTACCTTAAACTCTATTGCTAAAAAATGTATTATATAAAAAATATATTCTGTGCTAAGAATTGTGGGCCAGAAAAGCTGAAAAGGATACAGCAGGACATCATGGTAATACATATTGGACATAGTAAATCTTCTTTTTCCCCTTGCATACTAAATATATGGAATGAAACGCACAGATTATCCAGTTTTCATTGTTTTAGAACAGGTTCCTGTAAACCTGCCACACTAAACCGCACTGCACCTGCAGGGGGACAACGGGAGCCCGTGCTCCTCCACAGCCACCAGGCTGCTCAGGCTGCCTGCCAGGCTGCTGCCACGGCTGGTCGAAGCCCCCCTCTCCTCCATCAGCCAACGCATGGCCTCGATGCCCTCGTGGACGGTCACCAGCTGGCGCAGAATCTTCACGTCGGCAGAACGCAGCAACCTCTGCAAGGACAGAGAGGAGTTGGGTGAGTGTGATGCAGGTTTTAAACAAAAGGAACCAGAAGTGTGTGTTTGTGCCCTGCAGGTATGCAAGGGGGAAAGAGGTGTGTTAAACTTCGCTCAGAGGCCACCTGCCATATATCATCCACACGCCAACGCGCACACACACACACACACACACACACACACACACACACACACACACACACACACACACTATTGAGGCCCCTGCTTTGACATTAAAGCGTGAAGAAGGACAAAGGAGCAGAATAAATTGCAACAATGTTGGAGGAAGTTGTGAAGTGCAGAAAGACAAGTGGAGAGTCAGGTGACACTGTCAGACAACAATAGGAGTAAGCAGGTGAACTAACTGAAAGCAGCGAGTTTGACACATGTGTCTGTCATCTGAAGGAAGGAAGGAAGAAACAAGTTGTGCAAGTTGTTACATGCAAATTCATGATGAAACTACACAAGATAAAACATATACGATTCGGTCCATTTAGGACATTTCCATTATTACATATTGTCTATAATAGTAATGCTGAGAAGAAGAGAATAGGAATCTTTACCATCTCTTGTTTCAAGCCTCTTAGCTTGTCAGAAAAGCTCTGACCGAAGGCGCTGCTCCGGTCTCCCCTGTCGACCACGTCCGACCACCAACCATCTCCGCAGTCCGCAGCATCCCTCATCCAAATCAGAAGGCTCTCCGGCGTCTTCCTGCCAACCTTATTTTCCACTTCTCTCAGATCTGCCAAGGAATCGTTGAGGATTTCCTCCGCCATCCCGCCGCGCAGCATTTCCTTCCAAGTCCTGCGATCAGGTGGACGCGGGATGGAGAAGAGCGCACGTGCGTAAAGTGCCTTTCCCCAAATTCCACCGTGAGAAGTTAAGACTGCGCAGACTCGCACTCTCAAAAACTCACACCCAGACTCACAGCCAAGGTCCCGCGCGTTATATCCCCGCGAGCACTCGACAACAAAACCCGCGACCGCGACCGACGCACGCGGTGCCACAAAGGCGCCGCGGAACGAGCCGTGAAAACGCTGGAACGACGGATCACCTGCTGACGGGCCGTCGGCATTCATGCCACTGAGGTGTTGATGGTATGCGGCAGGTGGTGCTGGAAAGTCCTCAAACAATGGTCACGTGAAGTGGCGCCACCTGTGCGCATCGAGCCGACGGGGATGGGAGAAGGTCACGTTCACGTGATTCCTCTGTTCATCTCTATCTCTAATCAACTGGAGGGCACAAGTGTAGCTGATGTGTAAAATATAATGGCTATAAGTCATTAGTGTCACTTATTTTCTGGGATCAAATGTAAATGTCCTCGTGGCAATTTCTGTGTGTTCATTTATTTGTATTAAGGTGGTGAAGGTTTGTATTTTAACACTCTGATATCTTGTTCAATTAAGTTGCATTGATAACATATCAAGGAAATGACTGTGTATTTTTTAAATCCCAGATATAATATGGCAACTATATATTTACTGAATAAAAAGGTTGTGGAAGTATAGGCACAGGGACCCCAAAGGCCCAAATCCATCTGTTTCCTTTTGGTGTATTAGGCTCAGATTTGCAGAATGTAATGGGACTGTACGGTTATTGACCTACGATGCTCAAGATGCCATTTCAGAAACTTAACATCAATGTCTCTTCCCAGACATCCACTGACCCTGTTGTGCGTGTTATTTTAGATCTTAGGGTTAACTGTCTGTCAAAAATAGTCTGTGGAAGAAACAGGTCTGATTTTTAGACACAGAAAACTAAGCAGAGAGCGAGCTGACATCTGTCACTGACTGAAACGTCATCTTGCTCCATATTGGTGCCTTTCAAAACCAGGGCAAGAGTCAAGGGAGGTTCCTGCTTCCGTAAACCAGGGTTGTGCTTTATTAAATTGTTAAAGGTGAAAGTGGCGTTCTAAGAAAAAAGGAGCCGAATACATGAATGAAAAATAAGTTTATGATGCTTCATCTGTTTACGGAAAATTAAGAGGAGACCTTAGAGTCTAGAGTTCCTCAGGAAAAGAGACTGTGGGAGAAAACTTGTGAGACAAACTGTGTTTTGGAGGATCAGCCCACTCGAATCAAGCAGCTCGTTGAAGAAGAGAAAAGAAGCCTGTAGGTGGCAGCAGACATTCGTCATTTATAAACACCCCGATGTTTGATGGGATTCTCTGGGGCTGAAAAACACCAGCCTGATTTATCCTCCTCCGGGATTTCATTCATTGGCCCTGTTTTCTTAAGAGTACAGGTCAAGTTTTAAACCCGGAAAAATGAGCCCAAGTCAACACTCTGAGGTCATCTCGTTTCATGAACCGGAATGTTTCCTGTCATTTTATAGGTGACTTTCTGCCATTAATTCTCCAGGTTTCTAACATGCTCCACCGCTGTGAGCACATACCATGATGTCATCAGAGAGGCATAACGCTGACAGCGAATATGTCATACTGCACAAAATATTCTTCTAATGTCCTTGCAATGAAAAAAAGCAATGGGCAAGTTGGAATCACAAGTGGATAAAGAACCCGGGGGGGCGGCTGTAAAACATCACCCACGTATTAGCAAGTGGTCTCAGGCTGGCTGGGAGGAACCCTGGAGTCAACGTTACATGTGGTCGAGGGTGAGCATAAAAATGTTACACATAGAAAGTATTGTGTTTTTTTACGAGTCGAGGCCTCTTGCTTCCAGTTTTAGGGAAATCATAAACTTACAAAAACTATTTCTCAAACCAGCATTATGAGCAGATAGGATTTTACAGCATCTGTCAGGGCAGTTAATTGTGATTTACCAGGAGTCATAAAGAGGATGTGGGGGTTTATGGGAGTTGCCCTACTTTATTCTTCTTTGGGCCGAACCACCTGAAAGGTGAAAAGCAGAGGCAGTGAGCGTCGAACCACATCCACTCATTCTCACTGAATCTTCTTACACAAGCACAGCACGTTCATGGGAATAGAGGAATAGATATGTTCTCATGTCGATTCCCCAGTGAATAAGCCCGAAGCGAGGCGTGTGTGTGTGTGTGTGTGTGTGTGTGCGTGTGTGTGTTTGCGTACATCCAGTCAAGGGTCAGAAAAACGGCATAACAGCTGAGGCCACTAGGCCAGGAAATCCTCCAAATTCACATGATCCATGGAAAGCCCCTCACATGCAGTCAGAGACAATCATGGGGGGGGGGGGGGGGAGTTTCCCAAATTTACTGTCAACTGTCAGATGTACAGTCGACCAGAAAGTGTTGTTGGTAGGTGTTTTTGTTACCTTTGGACAAAACCAGGTGTTTAATGCTAAGCTAAGTTAGCCAACTGGCTAGCTGTAGCTTCATATTTACTGCACTTAAGAAACAATGGTCTCAATCCACTTTGTCGCAAAGCGTACTTACCAAAAAAAGGTGCTTTAAGGATCTAACTGACATGTTTAAAAGGAAGCAATTAGTAAATGTCTCCCGCTGCTCATGGATTTTTAGTTAGAAGATCTTGCTGTTCTGTGCATCTGTTTCCATTTAGGAACCTACAGAGAGATTAAATGCGTGTGGAAAAGTAATTGATCTCATATGTATGGAGAGGCCCATTTACATCCTGTAATTGTGTTGTGTTTATTCAAACCATGACATAAAGCGCAGATCCCACAGCTGAGAAGACACATAAATGCAGAGTTTACAACGCGCGAGAGGCATACCAAGGAGTCCATTAGCTTCCACTGGGAAGCTTACAGCATTAAAGTGCAAATTGCAAAGCCAATTGGGGCAAAACAAAAACAGAGACGCAAAGTGTGCACGAGCACAAATAGATCTCCCATGTTGTCTGACTGCAGGGTTGTCAATAGATTCCTGCTGCATCAATCTTTGTTGGTTAAACAGATGTCAGCAGCACCGAGGAGCTTGTGCTGTGCCTGATCGAATGCTTGATAGGAAAGCCCGGAGGAACCTGTGTCAGGGGCCACAGGGGCCAGTAGATTCCAAGCACATTAACATTCCTGAATAAATAACCCCAGGGAATGTTATTGTGGAGACGTTAAACAGGATTTTCCTCCCAGAGCGCAGGAGAACGGCCAGGCATCACTCTGCCGTCTCCATTGCCCCGGGTTAGAAAGCAGCTAAGGCAGACGGTGCCAAAAAATAAAAGAGCTTTTTAAACCCCTTATAATATCCTTTTCCTTCCTCAGAAAAAAAATGCAGCAAATTGCACCACATTAAATTATTCTGGCATTTTTTGGTTTTATTCATTTCAATATTGTTCATCAGAATCTAATTTAGTCCAGTAACTTGTGTGCAAAATAAATGTGTTTTTCTGCATCTGTACTTAGTTATGAGTTCATATAAGAGCTACGGACAAGGACAGCAAAGCTGAACAAATACAGGCAAAGGGCAATGACGCTTTTGTGAACATATGAGAAAATGGGTTATAATGTTCCTGTCAGTATACATACAAACACATCTGACCAATAATGACATCATCAAATACAAACATATTTTATCTAATTTGTATACATTTCCGAAAACAGACATAGTGCTAAATACTTAACATCTTTCTGAGTTTTATTCAAGGTTAGGTTTCACATTGCTTTGCGTACACGCGCTGGTAAAAATGTGCTTCCACTGGGACTAGTGAGAGGTTCATTTTAGTGTAGTTAAGTAAATCTTATGATGTCCGATATAACAAATTAAGGTTAGCTGTGCTGAAGTGACATTGCTTAATCTTGTGTTTAATTGAATTCTGTGAACATCGAGTGTTTCCAGATAGTTCTGGTTTACTCGCACGCACCGCTCTGTTTTGGATACGTCACAAACTGACCCATCAGCCCTCTCCCATCTCTCACGGCATATGAATCATGCTGCTGATGCTTTAATTCTCAGTTTGCATTGATGCCTTTAAAGAACACAATTGCTTTTAAGCATTCGTGGAGCAATCACTAGTAATACCGCTGGGAGAAGTGAGTGTTTCAATCAATCCTGCATCTCATTTTATGAGCGACAACCTCTGTTCCCTCTTCTTGTGCTTCTTTAACGTGCATTGATTGATTTATTGTGGCTATTTGGGGGGTTGGGCAACAAACTGCAAACACCACTGAGTGTGTTTACATGATGGTATAATTCGAATCTTTGCTTAGTCGGACTATGCTATCTTTCGTGAGGAGGTGCTATTATCTCAATAAGCATGGCAGTGAATAAATCGAATCATTGGCCGAAAGCATGTCATATCCGATACGATAGGTGGCGCTGTTTTCATTACAACTAGTTGTGATACAGCCATTTCCTCCTTGACCTCTTCACCACTACCAACAACAAGCAACAACAACAACATCAATAGTCGAACTATCAACTGGATCGGATCGAGTTATCCAGGGGTGTTAGTCGGATCGTAGTCGGACCGCACATAGTCGGACAAAGGTGTTTACATGAAACGGATAATTCGATTTCAGTCCGACTAAGCCAGTTATTCGAATCCATGTAACCCCGCTGACTGAAATTGTATTTGCACGAATGTTAGATGAAGGCCGTCTGCTGAAGCATCAAGAAACATCAAGAAACATCAGCATTCATTTAGCTTCAAATATTCACTTTAACTTTGCTTTGCTTTCCTTCCTCTGCTAAATGCTGCTTGCAGCAGCTGGCGTGTGAGAATTTAGCTCGAAAGTTATTCTGAACATCAAAGTCATCAACCAGGAGTTAATATGATCGGTCAAAATCCCAGTTAGCTTCGGATCACGACTGTTTTTAAATATAAATTGTATTTGTAAAGTGCCATTGTCCTGCACAACAACAACAACACTGGACGCGCTTTATTCTCCAGCATTACGTCAATTGGCTTTATTAAAACTCTGATTCTTCTCTCTGATCCCCACAAAACTCCCCTGTCAAACAGCAGACAGCTCACTGAAATGAAACGCTACACAATGGAACCCCCTCGGAGTTTCAAAACTAAGAAAAACAGTCGTTGCCAAATCCTCGCCGACGTCTCCCCCGCGCTCTCTCCCCGCACGTTGTGGCGTCGAGGAGGATTCCTCCTCCATTGACCTGCTGCTAGATAGCAGCCGAGTCCACGCTTCTCCCCGGTGAATCACACATTCCTAACGTTGGAAGTCAGCAGTGAGGAGGACTGCAGCTCCAGACACAGCGATGGCTGCGTGAAATGTGGCTGTTGTTGATTGGGCTTATTTTCCCCTGTAAGGGCCCGCGAAGGCCTTTCTGCAAGCGATCGCTCTCCAGAGAACGTGTGTTCATTGCTTTTAAAGGTCGCGGCCGAGCCCCTGCCGAGTGACACGAGGGAGAAAAGCGAACGGGGTCAAAAGTCTCTGGCCAAGAGCCAACGGAAATACGGGTTTCAGGGAAAATGAGTGCGGGGCCTGAAATTGAAAGTTAATCACGCGGGGAAAGTTATACCCTGTCTTTTTTTTCTTCTTTTTTTTCCTCCTTCTTTTGTCAATATTTCTGTCGTGTCTCATTCTTCCCCCTGCGCCGTTTCTCTGGTTACTAAACGGAAACACATGAGCGCGTACGCAGGGGGGCGGGGGGGGTTCTGGTATTCCCGTTCACCATGAAACATTCGTTTGACACGCCAAATGTTTATTATGACTCAATTGCCTCACGGGGGGGCCCCCGAGAAAAACAGGCCCTCTGCTACGTGGGGTAAGATGCCGTCAATGGCTGCATGACCGATCCCAAGTCCACCTCCTTATCGCTGATATGGAACAACGCGTGACACGTGAAGATAAAGAGCCTCGCCTGAGAGATGTTGCTGTCAGCAAATGGCTTCCAGGTCCAGGTGAGCACATGGAGAGCATCAGCTCGCTGTGTTTGATGAAGTCAATGTTTGTGTTCCGTCGGCAGCATATTCTTATTGGCTCTGTCCCCACGGGGATCCTTCAGGCACATATGGAGGTGATTTGTTCAGATTCTTCAGCAGAGAAAGAAATAAGAGGGGGCGGGGCCTCGGGATCTTGAGGTTTCTGTGAGAAAATGACTTTTAAGAGAGCTTCGAGTAACATCCCGGAGTGCGTTTAGAGATTTCACAGAAGTCGCTGCACGGCTGTGACACCCAACGGAGAACAGAGAAGAGTGAAACCTTTCCATTAGAGCTGTCACGGTCCAATAGTCCCCACAATGATTGTACGCACCAGCAACACTTGTGCTTGGGTACCGGAGCTAAAGCTTTAAGGTTAAACATTAGTTGTGGATTAACCAGATTTACATCTTCCCCTGGAGGGGCATGATTGTGTTCAGCAAATGTAATAGTTGTGTTCAGGGAACCATGAAAAGTAAAAAATAAAATAAGATGATCAATTTGGGTATATTGGTTATTGTGAAAAAAAAGGAAATGTCATTGTGGGTCTAAAAATTCCAATAGTTCTTATCTTCTGATAAATTCCTTGCCCATTTACCGGGGAATTGTCTCCCTATTGAGACGTATTGGTCATCGTCCAGCCTTTGGGGTTTACAGATCATTTTGGAAATATAGACTTTATTTCTTAACACACAAATCTAAATGTTAAGAAGTGAAGTTTCAAGAGAATGATGAGGGAGTTCACGTTAGACCACATGATGTCCCCTACAAAAAAAAAGAAAAAAGGCTTTGCAACAGGAATGTTGATGTTGAGCTGGAGAAGCTCCAGGGTAGGGGGTTAAACCGTCAACAAAATCTTGCCACATTGCAAGCAGAACCCTAATCACACTTAACCCTGTGTGTATATTACAGTGTTTCAGGCCCGGCCTCGCGGCCAGTGGAGTCCTGTCTCCAGATCGGCTGTAAAGGTTGTGATGGCAGAGATTTGGCCTCCCTCTGGATGTTGACACTATCCAGACTCAGGGGAGGATGAGGAGGGGAACGAATGGAGGAGAAAAAACATAGAGAGAATTACTTAAAGCTGCAGCACTGCAACTTAAAAGTCTCAGGGCTTCTGGGCACGGACACAACATATTATTACTAACGTAGGATTCAGAGTAGTTGCTATGGGGGCCGTTTGCATGCATTGTGTTCGCGGTTAGAGGCAGAAAGTAGACGAGGCCTGCTGTCTTCGCTTGCTTTTGTCCCCGTTGACTCCTACAGAAACATTCGCAAGGGATGAATGTGCTTGTAGAAGAGGGGGGGGGGGAGGAGATCAAAGACTTGAGAATTCCCCATGTATGTGTAAATGTTTCAGGCTGATGGTGCCAGTGCTAGAAACTGATTGTGTGCCATGAGCAAAGTAAAAGAAAAACTCCCCCCTCCCCCCCCCCCACGAAAGCTTGGCACAGCTCAAAAGCCAAGGTCTCCTGCGGTGTTGTGCGCGTCAGGGAAAAACATTCCCAGTGGAGCTGCAATGAGGTCACTTATCAGCCAGGGCATTCGGAGGGTGTGCCTCGCTTCCTCCCAGCGTCCCTCCATCTGTCAGCGAGAGGACAAATGAGCTCAGCGAGGGCCGCCGATAATGCTGTGTGCTGTCAGACTCCATGACGGGCCTCGAGTGGACCGAGGGAGCAGGAGGGCCGAACTCGCAGGAACACACCCTTACCAAGAAGAATGAACTGCTTTTTTTTTTTAGAAAAAAAAACTACAAATTGATTAAAGCCAGACTGAACCATGTCAGGGAAAAGCCCCAAAACAGCTTTCACCGTGTAAAAAAACTCATCTGAAGAGTGAGTAAGCTGTCTAATGTGTGAAAATGCATCAGTTTAGTTGTTTAAGCAAAAAAAGTTGCAATAAACTTATTGGGAAAGGGGATGGTGGTTTAACTGTGTGTGTGTGTGTGTGTGTGTGTGTGTGTGTTTATAGGGGATAAATAAGAGAATAAGTCATCACATCTGAGCAGCCACAACAGTGCAACAGAGTTCATGAGAAGAATTCGCTAATCGCATCGGGTAATTAAACTTCAGTAATAGGGGTTAAACTGCGACGGAAAAACACAACAACACATTCTCCCCGGACCACATGAAAAGGATTCCGTCATATTAAGAGCTGCTGATGAAAAAAAAAGCCTCTTTGAATCCCAACAACAACAAAAAAAAAATGGCGCCGGCAAAAAGCTAACGCTGTGCCATTTGTTGGTCTGGTGAGTAGCCTACTAAAAATATACTCCTGCTTCTATCACTTTCAATTACGACCAAAGATATCTGGGAGAAAATCTCGCACCCGTGATGGTTTAATGGAGCGCGTCGGGGCTGGTTCACCAGAGATAAACATTATGTCAGGCTTTTGGCTCTGGTTGTTGGTATTTGTTGAACAGAGATAGCAACACACGCGTGCACGCTGCCATGTTTGGTAGCGAGGACGTCTTACACACCTTCGTTTCGCCGCGTAGATCAAACGCGCTCCATGTTTGGTTTTGAGAGAAGAGGCAGAGAGAGAGAGATGGAAACCATGCACTCAGGGGATGGGAAGAAGTTAGCGTAGCAATGCTAAACCTAATCTACCAGAAGAACAAACACACACTGTGGGGCGTAGTCTTGTAAGAAATAGTCATAATAAAAGGAAACGGCTAAGAGACGGTTATAACAAGACAAGCTAGCGACTTTAATGGCGAAATGCCAACATTTGTTGCCGCTAAAACAGGTTCAAGTTTGACATGTTTGCGCTGATCATGGGATCTCTTTTCATGGGACGTCCAACAGTTGCCGAGACGTTTAATATTAACTATGAATCTAGATAATGCTGTAATAGATCAGGGGATCATGGATGTGTGTATAAAAAGCTGGGCAACAGCTGGAGATGCTCAAATATCTTACTGGGCTAAAGGGCTTCGGCCTTCTGCCGGCATTAAAATGAGAAATCAGAGAATAACCAAAGCCATTGTGGGTTTCATTCACTTGGGGCCATGCATGTGTATTCCTGGGCCACATTTCATGCAATACGTTGAAAAGAAAATACCCAAATACTCAAAACTGAAAAGATCAACCTTATTTTGTAAGGAAAAAAGCCAGGGGATCAGCTATGCTCTAGAGATGGCAGTCCATGCAGTAGTTGAGATTTACGCTTGGATTGAAAAATTTAGTTGGACCACGAAGCGCACACAATTGAGCCAACAGAAAGTAATTTAACACAAGACAGCTGCTCCACCATAGTATCACATGGTCATAAGAACTAAACACATTTTGCAGCTTATTAAACTAATGAAGTCCAATCTCTTTCAGAGCACTGCAACTGATCCACGGTGAAATCAATAGGCTTAAAATAGCATGTGACCAACACCCGGTATGCTAACACACACTCACACACACACTATGGTTTATTCGGCTTTATGTGCAGGCAAAGTGGTCTATAAGCAGAATATAAAGACACTGAGGTTCATTTACATTGCTTCTAAGCATTCTCACATGTGAATGTGCTTTGCCACTGTGGCATGCGTTCTGTGTGGAGTCTATATCACTCCGGAGAGCCATTGGGGAGCGGGGTTAAAGCCTGGAATGTACACTATTTCCCCACAGGAAGCAGAGCATGGAAGTCTACCGTCGCCCAACGCCCAGATCATTCCATCACACGCACAGCTAGCCGCCTTCTGAATAAAGAGTACTAAAGTCAGAGACTCTCAAAAATGCAACGCACGACACAAAGACAAAAAAGAAAACATCACAGTAGGTTGCTCTTTATCTTTTACGTTTTATTAAAAGAAATTGTATCTTTGATATGTCTTACAGAGTTGTACAAAATTTCACATGACATTACAAAAATATTAAAAGGTCATTTTTAATAATGTACTGAAGCAGTCTGCCTTGAGAGCTTTGTTGTTCATAAAACTTAATAATCACAAGTTGCCAACCTCACTGGAGGACATCTGCCAAGCTTTTGCCTCTTTAAAGCAGCACGTTCTACATTTACACAGGTCTCGACACACAAGTCATAGTGGGCGTTAACATATATTGGACGTATACACATGATACAGTTTTGTACAAAGTATGGAGGCACAGAATCTTCTGATACTGTAAAAATAGTTTCCCTACAGGCGTCACATCAAAGCTTGAGTCAGTTACTCCGAACTGAGTCCGGAGGAAGCTTTCAGTCAGTGGTTTTAAACGTTTTTATGTAAAAAGGTTAATTACATTAATGTCATACCATTATACTTTAAGTCTCATTATTACTAAAAAAAATTTTTAAAAAATCAATGTCATGATTTTCGTCTTTTAAATGCAGATCCTCATTGCCAGTCTCGAAAAGCTATTGAGAGGTTACAATGTCCCAAAATAATGACTTTAATATTATCGTTTTACTAAAATTGTGGTTTCATACTGCTGGAGGAAGTCCTGTTTTCACTATACGTCTGTACGTGCCTGTGTCGCACACAGCTTACCCAAAGACTCCTCGATGTGAGTCGTCGCCATCATTAGTGACAGTGAAGAACACACACACACCGCATGGGACGCTTTTTCCACAGTGTTTCCGTCTTAGAGTTACACGTTTCTGTTGGAGCAGGTGCCGCTTCTGACTCAAAAGAGGCACATTTGTAGGCTATAAAAACACTAAATCCTATAGACTTGACATTAAGACACACTGGCAGGCTCAAGAGGAGGACCTCGAGCACCCACCCACCCACACACTCGCACGTCTGGAACATATAACAGACAGTCATTTCATTAAATGGCTCAGTGGGGGCTCGTCCTAGCCAGCAGAAAGACGCCCACATGCAACACACTCTCACTGTACTTCACACCTCCTGTAACCTATGTGCACTTTCTAAAGAAAGAACTACACTACATTAGAGACATGAAAAAAAAGTTTACAAAATCTTACAAAGCTTTCCAAAAGCTTCACTTCAGGTCATTCAAGTGGTGACAAACAGTACTGGGTTTAGCTAAAATGGTGCCAAAAATCACACGTACAATGCTTATGTTTGAACAAACAAAACAACATCCTTCATTAAATCAAGGAATTTTGTCATGATGAGTTTTTGTGGGTCACACAGTGAGTGAGTGGCAGGAATACAAGTGCAGCTCCCTTGCTGGATGCAGCCGATGGGACAAGGCACAGAATACAGCTGCCATTTGTCAGCTTGACTCATTTCAGACTGTTGTCCATGGAGGGGCCTCAAAGGAGGAGAGTCTCCGATGAGCTTCATAACAGAAGAGGTACAAACACACTGGGTCCTTTTCCACAATAAAATGTTTGGTATGACTGAGGAAAAAAATATTCTAAAATTTCCATTGCGAAGGAAAAACTGGCTTGACTGGCGGTTTTCGGTGGCCTCTTCTCATGCACGGAGATGTTCAAGATTCCATACTTTGTCTGCATGATCCTGATCGTCGGGAGTTTATTCAATCCCGTATTGACCAGCGGCTGTAGCAGTGATTATAATGGCTCAGGGTTATGTCAGTTTGCGGCCTTCTCTATGCCATGATGAGATGGTTGCTCCGCTCTCTGATGTCTGCCGGAGGAACAAGATCTTTCTTCACTGGGGTCGGCAAAAGAGTGGAACGTCTGCCTTTGTTGTTGAACAAATCAGACACGAAGAATACCTGCAGAGTAAATAGAAAATAATAACTGAAACGTCGCAAATACTGAAAAGTGGCACATTCAAAAGCAGTTACCAAGAATGTAACAATGCAAGCCAACTCTCTCACACATATTCAACTGAAGAGATTGAAATTTATTCAGAGTTCCAGACACTCCAGTTCTTAATGGTCTAATAAACTATATCAGATATCACGTGAAGTATAAGATAACAATATTGCATCATATCAGAACAACTCACTATGCAGTAGGCCACCAGGGCTCCCTGCACGAAACCCGCCAGGACATCCGTGGGGTGGTGCTTGTGATCGGAGACGCGGGACAGGCCCGTGTAGAAGGACATCATGATGAGGGTGAACTGGGTCAGAGGGCGCAGCAGACGAGCTCCGTGCCACGTGAAACGAGACTGCAGGTAAAACTGTACAAGAGACAATAATGGAGATACGTAAGTATCCTCTCAAGGCACATGTCTACAGGATACATCATTTTAAATTAAAAACAATTGTTACTCACCACCAGGTAAAGCATGGTGTACATGGAGAACGACGCATGTCCGGAGAAGAAAGACTTCCTGAGGGGAACAGACGACAATCAGCGTCGCACCAGAGCTCACAATGTCCACAGTGCAACACATTTTTAAAAGATGGTTCTCTCTGGTTCGTTGCAATACCTGGCCTCCTGGACTTTACCCTCAGGGCCCTGACACTGGTACTCGGTGATGTAGCCCAGGGAGCAGTTGATGGTGGAGAAGTCCGGCTTGCACACGTCGAGGAAGTGGGGGCGCATGCGGCCCACCGACACCTTGGCGATGTCGGTGAAGGACTGGCTGACCGCGCAGCCGAAGATGAACACGCCCACCTGCTTGTAGAGCGCGGACACGTAGGGGTTCCCTACGAAAGACTTGGATCCCTCGTTCAGAAAGTAGATCCTGTAGCTCTCCCCGATGACAATCTGCAGGGATGGTAACCATGGTGAACATCAGGAGGACAACACCGTGCCAGTGCCTAGCCGACTTCCTAAAAACACTTAATCCACATCTCCCCAGGGCTCCGTGAAAAGGTGTGAGTGAGAAGTGCCAAAGTATTGGATGAGAAACGGGGACAACCCTTTGAGAAAGCATCACTTGGGCAGTGGGAAGTGTCTGGGCAGCCGTGCATAATGTTCAGATTTTCGTCAGATGCTCAATTTTGTGACATAATAAAAACCTAATAAAAGTTGTTCTTGTGAGCTAAAGCGCTGTTGATGCCAGATCTCACAGTGCACGAAGCTCTCGCGCTTCGACACATAAAGTGTGTGATTGAGTAATGGTGAACACGCAGAATTTGTGAGGCGAACAACCTTTTTTTCCCCCCCCAGGATCTAGGCGTCGTTACGACATCTAAAAAACAGACTCCGGCGACGTCGTCTGAAGTGGGTTTGCAAACGGCCACTTTAAAGTCCAGCGTGTTTACCTGAGCCATTCTACGCCGGAGAGGAAACCCCGAGGCGCCGTGGGAGGTCGCTCAAACTGTCCGCCGCGTATAGTCTTCTGGAAGCGTGTAAATAAACAATATCTAAAACCGACGATTGACGTGTACTGTGCACTTGGAGGGGAGTGGGGGGAGGGACGTAACTCGCAGCAGCTGTCCAGCTCAGCGACGCCATCCCCGTTGTTTTCCGTTGTCCTCGCAAAAAGAGACGAGGCGTTGGAACGAGAGCGTGCGGGGCGGCTCCAGCGAGGGGACGATGGAAAGCCAGAGGAGCAGAGAGGAGAGGGAGAAGAAACAGAGAGAGGTGGAGGAATGAGGAGTGGAGCAGGAAGGAGCGGGGGAGGCACCGCTGGTTCTAATCAACAGAAACGCTGAGCTGGGCCAGACTGCACCAGGCACGTTGGGGGCGCGTTTGTTTTTCAGCGCTCCGGCTGCCTCCCTCGCTCTGAAAACGGCTCCGATTTCACGCGGGGTTTTCTGGCTGTTTTCGCGTTAGCGTCGCGGTTCAGTCGGACATTCTTTAGCGGGGCGCAGAAATAAGTCTCGCTCTGGGAAAGCCTCCGCGCAGGGGGAACAGCCCCCCGAGAAAGATTTGACTGGCTGATACGGAGCCGTTGTTTTCCACCACGCAGGCCTTGAGAGCCGGCTCGATACGGCGCAGCTGCTTTCATGGGAAAGAAGGAATGGGGAGGAAAAACACATCTGGTTCCCCTTGTTTAAAAGCATTAATGGATGAATTGGCCTCGCAGGGACTTGTAGCTGTTACACTCAGACCCCAGGAGGTAATCATGGCTGCATAGATGATTTGAGGAGCATGTCAAACATCTTGTAATTCCCCAACCACACACACACACAGGGTGTTTTTATTTCTTCTAAACTGGCTGTGCATAAATGATCGAGGATGTGGCCTCTTTTAAGCTCTTTGAGGGGGTCGGTTGTTTTCTGGTTCAGAAAACATAAAACGCTGCGCGGAAACGCTCCAACATGGAGATAAATTGTTAAGTCACGTTTCGCAAGAAGAAAAGTTGATATAATTGGCAACGTCTTCTCGTTTTCAAGCCTTCGCCGCAATTGCACCCCACCAATTACAGTAGTTAGCGAACAACCGTTGCGCCAACCATAATTACACGGGGCCAGAACGCCTCCTCGCCACGAAAACCCCTGTGGCCCCGGGCCCGCGTAGTAGTCCTCTCCCCGGGAGGAGGGCACCTTTGTCCGGTGTGTTCACGCCGTCCAACGTTTTGTGTCACTCGTTTAGTTGAAATGCAGAGTGGACGCTATTACATCTCCTCTACACTGGCCACAGCGTGTCGGTATCGATACTGGATGTATTTTTGAGCCGCAGCTACACAGTCATTTACTTTGTTGAACCAGTGGGGGGGAAAACACAGGTTGCAGTTATTTATGTAAAGTCTGACTGAAATTACGCATTGCTCAACATGGAAAGCTTTAGGACAGAGTGCAGCACGTCAGGAGGGAAAAATGCAACCAAGGCAAACAAAATTCTGTTGGCTAAAAAGACTTTGGTAAAAAAGAAATGAAATGGATAATAGCATGTGTGGATGATGGGTTAGTGTGCAGATCTTTGATGCATCCATCCTGACGAACTACAGAACACTTCACTTGCTAAAGTGCCTTAATCAACAGAGACATCTCAAGCCCCTGAGGAGAAAAGCCTTGAACAAATGTTGCTTTTTATCTGGAATGTGTTGAAGCCTAAAAGAGGGACAGATAGAAGAGGCAGGGGGAGGCGTTGTTTCAGTAATCATGGAGGATAATCTCAGTATAAACCCACAACGAGTCAACAGTCAGATAAAGGAAGTAGCAACAAGGGGATTTCTCTGAACATGAGGACAGTGGGAAAGTGTGTGGATTAAAATCCCCCGTCCTTTACATATTACTGGAAAAGTGATAACAAACAAACCGATAAACCTCGACTGGGGCTTTCCTTCGACATAATACTACATTGCATAAGGGTTGAGATAATGCTTGGTTAAACATTGGGAATAAAAGGTGTCGGTGGGTGCTGGCTAGTACAGCGGAGGCTGCTGAGACACACAGAGTGATGATGACATTAGTGATCAGAGTGAGGTGACTTACAGAGAGGATGGTGATTAGAATGCCAGCAGCGCTAAGCACACCGTCGCTAATGGTGTCTCCATGTTTGGCCGGATACATGATGGACTCATCATCGCAGTAAAACCCTCTACGGTAAGGCTGAACAGCGCTGGTCTCAATGACCAAGAAAGGCAGGCCGGCTAGTGTGAAGAAGCAGTGAGCGGGACAGAGAGAAAGAGGGAGGGTGGGGGGGTGGGTGAGGGAGGGAGGGAGAGAGAGAGAGATGGAGGTGCTGGGTTAATGATTTGTAAATAACAGGTCGCAGGTACAAGCAAGCTGCAACAAGGGAACATCTGGGACGGGCTCAATCCATTCTGTGGCGATTATGTGACTAATTAATACATAATGACTCCAGCGTTGTTCAATATAAGAGTTGGTGAGATATTTTGAGCACACCGGTCTGTCTTTCAAGTGCCAGTGTTTTTTCACTGCCATTTTTACTAACTAACAATTTTAGACTCACTTATTGTTGTGATTGGTCTCAGTTTATTTGACTACAGAATGCCAATGAGCTGCAGAGATTTGGAAAAAAAAAAAAAAAAAAAAAATCCCAAATATCGATCGACAATTTAAAAGCAAATCACTGGTTGCATCTGCTTTAAATCTTGAGTTAATATGTCACCGGCCATTTTCTGACGAGCGACGATTCAATCATTGAAGAAAACTACTTGCAGTTCAATCTTTACAAAACAACTTGGCAACTCTTTGGTATCTTTTCCCTATAAATGACATTAACAGTAAATAAATGCAAAGCAGCAGCCGGAAACCCCTCTGAAAGCTTAAGATAATGCACAGTAACTGTGGGGAAATGGCTGGCAGTGATGCGGTCTGCATGATTTGCAGCTAATAAGGTACAAACCCCCACTGATTGCGAGTCAAACCCATTGTGTGTTTTGAGCCGTCACAAGAAAACCATGGGATGAACCGAGTGTCCCCCAACAGATGTTCTCTCGTTGTCTTGCAGTACCACAGCAGGACTTACTGAGACCACGGGCACAGTGGCGCCCACGGCTGTGAGCATGGTGGTGGAAACCGTGCTGCGCTTATAGGTCAGCCCGATGCTGTTGTCATTGCAGAAGAATCCTCTCTGGTAAGGCCGGAAGGGAAATTTGTGCAAAAACACGGCAACAAGCAACACTGCATGGTTGGACAGACAGGATCAACAAACAAAAAAACAAAACAAAAAAAAGGTCAGAGCGCCATTTAAACCACAACAGTGGACAGCAACGGCAATAGATTTCATCAACAGGAAGACAAGCATACAAGAAAGACACTGAAAAGGTAAAAAAAAAAAAATCAAGGAGACATTTAAAACAAAACTCCCAATAGACATGTATTATGTGCATCACTCATTTTTAAAAACTGACACTGAAAATCAAAGCTCCATCATTGTTTTGGACTTAAGTAAACCTTTTATGTCAAGAATAGCATCAAATGGTTCTGAACAGGCAGAGCTAACGCTAAAAGGATTGGATGTGTCACGTTCTTAAGAAAGAGGCTGTTGCTGCGAACTGACATGAAAAAAAAAAAAAAAACAGCCATCAGAGCCATCCTTCATTTCCTGCACAGCCTTTCAAGTGCTCTTTAAAAAAGGCCCACTTTAAAGAGATGCCTTGGAGGGAGAGGGGGGGGGGCTGTCTGCGTCCGATCAATTTAGTGTCTTTTGCCATTTAAAGTGGCAAAAAGGTCTTACTTAGCTCTTAACAACAAACAAGAGTGGGTGTTACAGAGACGCAAACCAGAAGGATGCCTTATTTTTCCCATTTAACGTGAGATGAAGGAATTTGAGGGTGGATGTGGCTCCCCAGAGAATTCTCAAATCTGACAGAATTTGCAAAATGCTTTCAAACACCACTTCAAAAGCGGCATTTAACTGATGGAGGAACTTTCAAGTCGCTCTTTGAATAATTTTGCAATCTGCCGATACAAAAAAGGAAAACAGTCAAGAGCCAAAAAAGCACCCTGGGTGCAGAGGTCAGTTCTGCGAGCTGCTGACGGCACGCGATGGTTGTGGGTGCTTGATGGGTTTTATTTCTCAAGTCAAATGTCAAACACACGCTTCACTTGTTGAGCCCCTCAACCCTTTACATCCACACAGACTGCAGCTGACTTTGGCCTTTGAAGGTGCAGCTGGGTGGAGCTCAGGTTACAGACGGAGTCCTGCTCTCTGATGGGAACTTCGACCGGCTGGGCCTTCCCTCCACATTCAGCGCGATTCACATTATTAACTTTAGAGTTTGCGTTCCCTCTTCAAACAAACACCTGGAGCGGAGCTACTAACAGCCTGAGAAGGAGCAGGGTGGTGTCAAACTATACAAATATACAGTACTTTACAGTACCATGGATCCAAAATTGTCTTATCCCTCCAGTTTGCTTGACCTGCATGAACAGAACCACACCGGAGCTCCCAGAACATCATCTTAAAAACAAAAGAAAAACAGGGCAGATAGTGGTGGATGTGAAACATAAATGGGTCCTGACCCCCCATCAGTACACAGACCCGATACCGACCACAAGGCCAGAGGTGGAGACCAGAGAGCGAGGGGCTGATGAGATAAAGTGGGCAAGCTTTTAAGGAACCTGCAAGGAGGGGGGCAGGGGGGACCGGAGGTTCAAACAGCTGGTTGAAGGCAAACACAACAAGTTTTCCATACAGTCAGGAGGGGATTTCTCCTCCGCTCAGCCCCCCGGCCCCTTTCATCCGTCTAAACAGTGCAGCATCAGCACGTCAGGATTTTCCCCTCCTAACCCCTTCCTCCTTTCCCGCTTCTAACAGCCAGGGGGGGGGGGGGGGGGGGGGGGGGCAAGGAAGAAGGGGGAAAGTGTCCTAGTCCTGCCAACAACAACTACAACAACACCAGTCAGCAGGCAACGTCAACCCAAAAACAACAGATAAGAAACGAGTTGGAAGTTGGCAGTGTTTTCCATTCAGTTTTGCCCTTGATAGATCAACAGGGGGGGTGGATAAAAATAAGAAAACACTGCGACCGGGGCTTCTTTCCAGCACGCAACCGAGCGCCGTCTCATATCAAAATATGGGAGAAAACGTATCATTAGGACACACTTGTCAGAATTTAACGCTCGCTCATTTGCTTTTCCCCCGTTTCAGCTCTGGCAGCGTCACGTAGCTGCAGTTCGTGGAAACTAGAATTAATGTACGTCTCACGGTAAATTAAGTCCCCACCATATTTTGGAGGCATTCGCCAAAAACACTGAGTGTGACTTATTAAAATAAACAGACGCACATTTTCCACTTGCGCGGATCCCTCACCGTCTGGCGTAGAAATTCATACATGTCTGAGGTAGTTGTGGTGTATACACAGATGCGGTTGTTTTTACTTGCAGCAGCCCCCACACAAACTGCCCTCTGTCTGCTCCGGTTAAATAAAACACACATTTGCATTGAATTGCTGGTGTCGGTAACAGCTGCTTTCTTCTTTTTATTTGCTGAATGTATTATTCACTTTTCTAGGGAAGAGAAGCCCACACAGCAGTTTACAGATCCGCTCCCGCTTCATTCTCACTAACAGAAAACACACAAAAACATGAAAAATAATATAATGCTGCAGATACATTGGATCACACAGTAGATGAACCTGCTTACACAGCAATGTGACATTTAAAATACAAGCATACATTTGTTCATATAAATAATAAAAAAAAAAAAAAATTAAAAGTTTATAAGATTTCAACAGCAGATCTCATTGCGTCCTCCTGTCTTTAATATGTCAATGTGGGATAAAATGTGCTGTTTTGAGTTTGTGGTAAAGTGTGACAAATTGAAATGTCCTTACTGCTATATTTGACTGTTCCTTAAAACTGAGACTGTTGTCACAGTATACTTTTTAACTGTCTGTGATCCAACTTCTTAATTTGGGTTTCTGAAAATAACGACGGCCCATATTGGCCCTTCTGGCTGAACTTACCACTTCAACTCCTTTTAAACTTCCACCAAAATCTTCCAACTCTAGAGAGAACGCTCCCTTTACCTGATAACCTACTTCAACCTCACTTTGTACCTACTAGACTGAAACTGAAAAACAGACGCAATCGTCACAGATTACCCACCGTCCGCCGGTGCCGAATCAGGGCAAAGCACACAAGAACATACTGCAAGACGATTAAACTGGAAAACATGCAAGCCACCTGCTACGGCTTATAGTGTAAAGGGAACTCGATCACCTCAGCAGGATTAATGCGGAATACTAAATAGCAGCCTTCTACTTTCCTCAGCAATTAGTGACGGGATTTAGTTCTAATCACCACTGAATGGGGGTCATTTCTCCTGCAGTCCAGCGTGCTGTCGACTGGGTCTAGTGGCATCCAGTGGCCGAAGATAGAGAGCAGAGGCGGCATTTCCCTGGATGGAGTTACGCTAAACTGCCAATCAGCGTGTGAGAACGGAGGAGTGGAGATTACCACTACTGGCCCACCATTTCCTCCTTGTGGGTAGGTAGTCTCTCTAAACCACATATTCATCCCGGGCAAACCACGGGGATTTACCCTCTATGGAGACAATGCTAGACTCAAACTAAGTATAGCCACAAGGAAAAAGGCAGGTATGTGGAAGATATTTCATGGGACGGTTCCAATAGCTGGTGCTTTCCCCCGTGCAGTTCCGGTTATACATTATGAACACTGCTTTGTTGTTCCTTAAAAATGGGAAAGCCATGGTTACATTAAGGAGGAAAAAGAAATAGTGCAAATAGTGAAAGATTTAAGCTTTACTTTCTGAAGGACCAGCCTACATTCTCAAGGACTTTTGGTGTTTAACTTAAGTGTAAAAAAAATGATAACTGGAAACCAGAACACAGTGTATGCAGCTGTTAAACATTACAGGACCTGTGCTGATTAACATACAGACACACACACACACACACACAGGTGTGACCTTTTCACCACTTCCCTTAATTACTACACACATACAGGTATATATATATATATATATATATATATATATATATATATATATATATATATATATATATATATATATATATATAATATATGTTATGCCAGATGTTGAGATCAAGGGAATTCCTGCTGGTGTGGAATGTGAGCTATTTTGGAAAAAAATATATAATGAGTCAAAGCTGTGGTGCAGTTCAGGTGTGGTTGAGGAGACCAAAGAAATATAACCCTTTAGGAGCATTTTTTCTGTTTCCCCTCTTCAGATAATATTTTTTTGACCGGCTGAGGCTGGAAAAAAAATAAAAATAATACTTTCACTGGCTAATGTTTGGAAAACAATTAGCGGTTAAAGCTAAAGGCCTGAGCTACAGTTACTAACGGGGAATCACTTGTTGCTTAGGTAACACATCTGGACCAGCTGATGTAGCCAACTGAAACAGTTTGGCTCACAAACGTGATAAAACATGCCTAACAAGTGTAATTTACATTTAGGTAATTCATTTAAAATGTATCTTAATTATACTAAGGACAGTATCAGTAGAAACGTAATTGAGTTAAATTAAGAGACATATTGCAGATAGACAATTGTAAGTTGAGGAGCAAAAAACAGTCGAGCACAGTATCTTGAAGCCACTCCGAGTCCTGTAACTCTCGACTAGAAATTACATTAAAGGAACCAATACGGAGACAAAAAAGTCCCTTTAGTAACTCACACGTGTGCTAATTAGATGACGGTCATCAGCACGCAGCGGGTCTCTTACCTAAAAACAAGCAGAAGAGGTCCACTCCGATCAGTAACTTTCTCCTGCTGTGGTCTTTATTGTTCACTGAACTCCCGCCGTTCCTGGTCTCCGCTGCCATGGTTTTCTCATTTATCAGACAGCGTTGCATTTAACAAAAAAATATAAAAAGTTACGTGGTTCAAAACGACGAAAGTGAATACGCGAGTCACTCGTGTCGCGCGCGCTACCGCGGTGCGTTTACTTTATTCTTCAAGCGCAGTCTCGTCTCGCGAGTCTGAACCGACGCGTCTGCTTTTCAGAAAGAAAATAAAGACAAGAGGTCGCTGGTTCGTCTCCTAAACAATCACAAGCTCGCTTTCTTCTGGCTCCTCACCATCCCCGACTCCTCTATTTAGGAGGTGGTGAATCCGGTGAGAGGCGTCCAAAGAGGCCCCTCCCCCCGCTCCTCCCCTTTCAATTAATGCCATGTGCCAGCCCGCCAGCCCCCCACACACACACCCACACACACAGTACATATAAGTGTAACCTTCATTTGTTTAGAACTATTTTATTTTTTACATTGGTAAAAGACTTAAGTGCTAAGTCTTAAGGAAAACACTTAAATTGTAATAAAAAAAAATGTCGCGCAACAAAATGGAGACGGAGCAGTGAGCCGCTTTGAGCATCATGGTGAGAGTGAAGTGCCGATCAGATTAACGAAAAGGTGCAGCGGTGGAAGACGTGATTGTCCCTGGTCGGGAACGGACAAACGATGTCACCCCAAAACAAAACAATCAAAAACAAATATTTATTAAATGCAACACATTAACAAAAGAAAACCCCAAATCCAAAAAAACAAATTCACAAACAAATCCTTAAATCGTAAGCTTCACAAGTGACTAGTGGCTACTTTATGACATGGCTCTTTGACCCAAGTGCAATGATTTAGCGTGCTCCTTTAACAGCAACGGTGTAGAATATAAGGTGAAATATGGACAACAACCTAAACGGGGAAACTTTGAAATAATTATAGTGGTCACATCAGCTGCTTCATTTCACAATCGTTTCCATTCTGCACCGTGCAGGATCCTTTCCAGCGGCGTGGCATTCTGCTCTCGGTGGCAGATGTTCTTCAGGGTTCCTTGCATGGCCGATCAGAAGGCGTCTGCGTACAGCGGCGGGGGAGGAAGGAGTTCCACCTCTGGGAAGTCAACCTTCTGTTCACTGTCACAAAGCATCACAGTTCAGGAGGAGGATTCCAAACAACCGCACGTTCAATCTACACGTACTAAAATCAATTAGAGATCAAAAACGGGAGACGAGCTCCCACTTGGTGGTTACAAGGAAACCCGTCTGTACTCACGGCAACGGAGGCTCCTCAACGCCACACAAGAAGTCTGGGTGGAGACGAGCAGACACAGATGTCACATTAACCAACGAATGAATTGAAAGAGTCTCTGCGATCTGTGCCGCGTCCCCGGGTTACACCAGTGAGACACACGGGGCAACAAGTCATTTCCCCATTACGGGCATGACGCCAACCTGCCTATCGAGCCCTGTAAGAGATTACGGGTGTCCCACTATTAGCTTCCCCGTTATCAGTGCGAGTGACACGAGTGGTGACAACAGTGGAGTCATAAGAAGAAAAAAAACAAAAAAACAACTGTAAACTCACCTGATTTTTTGGCACTGTGCATCGGAAAGAGATAAAAAGCATTAAAATGGTTGCCGATTGCATATTTTGAATATGACCGCATCTGTAGATGCAGGTTAAAGAGGTAAAGTCGTAGACGAGGTCATGGAGAATATCATACTTTGCAGGGGTCGCGGGGATGTCATCTGACTCCTCTCTACTGTGCTGAAAGAAGATGGCGAGTTTCTGCAGCGCCTCGTGTCTGGTTCTAAATATGGAAGACAAGACACTGTTAGGACTATTTTTATACTAACCAGTGGCATACAGGGAGCGAGGGGTACCTATACCATATATTACGATCCCTTTCAGTAACATTGACGAAAAACAAAAAAGTAAAACTTTGGATTTGAATTGGTGGTCTTAAGTACACCGTTCAAATTTGAGGCCATTAAATCAAAATATATTTTTAAAGCGCAAAGATTGGTTTCAGCGTCTCAGATGTGCTGAAGTAAATCCATTAGCTTTGTGATGCAGCCTGCTGGTGGAACACAACAAGCAATTTGAATACCTCAACTTCAGTTCTGGGAAATGATAAAAAGGTGCTTCTCCACATTTAGCATTTTAAAGATTCGTTGAGGAATAATCTTCACCAGCTGTTATTTGCGGCTCCAGTTTGGTGCGTCAACAACTGCACAATCTGTTTTTGGTCTCATAAAAAAGGAGAGCGAACCAGGTCTGTAGCTTCATTTGGCTTCTTTCAAAATGTTTCATATTCAGTTACTCAAAGAAATAGCTCGGTATGCACACACGTCACACGTTACACACTTATGGGTAAACAAGAGAAAACGAGCCAAGGCGTCCTACTTTGAAACTCACTGAGTGTGTAGGTCTTCCAGGTTGGCGTCGCTGAGAGTTTGCGGGGCGCTGACATGGCCACATGCTGTCAAAGAGAGGCATGAGGGGCAGAGGGGGGGTACGACAGAAGAGGGAGGCAGTGAGGAGGAGGCGGCATTGGGCACATCAAAAAAGGCGTTTTACAGTCCACCATATGTCAAAACATAACATGAAACAACCACAGGCTAAGCTGGCATTTCCCTTTAAGCCAGACGGCTGAGAGGAGGGGGGCTGAGGGGGGTGTCTGTTCTCATGTTTTCACTTCAAAAGAGGGCCGGATGCAAGACATACTCACACATCTCGGGCAGTGAGGCCGTCTGATGGGGATAGCTACTACACAGAGGGAAGAGGAAGAGAAGCAATTACACACACTACACACGGTGCGCCACATCCATTTCAATCACATCTTTTAGAAAAATACTAATCTGCACTTTGATGTGGTAACAGTTTCTAGCATTCCTCCAGGAAATAACTGAGTCTAAAGCAACATTCAAGCCACCGGAAGAGGAGCGTACTGACTGGCTTTCACTGGAGGGGGAGAGGGTCTCATCTTCACAGGCCCACTCTTCACTGTCATCTGTGACTGAAGAAGACACACGTTGGATTAAGCACAGCGCGCCTGCTGGCGGTAGGTGTTTTTGGCAGGGGGGGGGTACACTCAAACCGGCCAGCTCGCATCGAAATACCTCCACAATGACAGAACAACAAGCCGCCGCGAACACAAGCCCAAAGTTATTTGGTTCTCTGGAGTCATCGAGTCACACACTACACCAGACAGTTACCCATCGGGCCGCGGGGGGGGGGCTCTTTGAGATGGGGTGAGAGTTAACCACAGATCTATGTACTTTAAGCGAGGCCACTGGCACTTACAGCTGCTCGTTAGCACCGGCTGGGCCGAGGATCTGCGAAAACAAAGACAAAAAGAAAGAAACAATATGAGTGAGCGGTGACGTGCGCATATCGACGGGCCGGGTGGAGAAGACCAAAAGCATCCCTGGCAGTACCTGCTCCCAATGCTGATGGTGTCTCCCTCCGGGTTGCCCCCTCGTCCGGCTGCTTGGGCCTTCTTGCCGAGCTCCAGCATCTCCTTGATGTTCAGTTCCACGTTCATCACGGAGATATAACCATCTGCCAACAGCCGGGACGGAGCGGTTACTGACCACGCGTGGGGAGGATGGGGGAAATGAAATCCCCCCCCACGTTAACGAGTCAGGACTCACACTTGTGGTTGGCGTCCCGGGCCAGCCATCGGCCTTTGGGGCAGCTGGTGGTGCGAATGATGCTGACGGTGTCCCCGCTCTGCACCGGCAGGTCGTGCTTGCGGACCTTGCTCGCCGCGATCACCTTGGCGTGGTACATGGCCTCCTCTTCGCCGGTCACCTAGAGAGTCACATTTTGCTAATGAGAGTGGGACGGATCTCAGAGGGGAGTGCATGTCAATCATTGATGATGATGCGAGAAGACAGACAGGTCTTTCAGAAGCAGGCGGCCGAACTTACTTTGAACTTCTTTTTCATTTCATTTTCCTTCTTCTCCCTTTCTTTTTGGACTTTTTTGTCCTTCTCCAGTCGCTGCTTTTCCCTCTTCCGCTGTTCTTTAAGGTCAGCATTGTTGGGGCTCTGGCGGCCTTGACTGAAAACAAATGGGTTAAATATGTATATATATATATTTTTTTTTAAACTCACTTTTTATTTTGTTTTCAACAACATGACAAAGTGCATTTTCAGACAGTCACTTTCTATGACCATTTTACAGTTGTATGTAGTCTTGGTACACATGATATTTAGGTGTTATGTACAAAGCACAGAGAGAACATCAGATAGTGGTCACTCCAACAGAAAGGGGAAAATCAAAACAAAGAAATAAAATCAGGGATGAATAAACAATAGCTGTCCACTCCTGAATGTAGTATTGTGGGTGCCGCATATGCGCATGAGAAGCTAGTGTATGACATGCGCAATATGTATATTTTTCATAAAGACAACAGGTAACACTTGAAATGCAAAGTAACTGAGTAACAGAACAAAAATAAATTTCCAAAATGAAAACATAAGCGTATTAATGGCTGTGACCAACATACCTGTGGACATAGTTATGTACCAGCTGAGCGTGTTCTCCGGACACGGTGCCCCTGCAGTTTGAGTACCACAGTAAAAGAAAACATCATTGGCTGCCTTATAGATGACAAATACAAAAGTCTTTGATGGAACATAAAAGTTAAAAAACAGGACATACCACGGATTCCGCGGCCATATGTGAAGACACGCCTCCTCCTTCTTCAAATAATCAGAGGATATATAATTGACCACAGATGATGGTTGAAGAGAACAGCGGGCATTGTTTGTTCATTGCACACCTCCGGCCATAAACCAAACTTTTTATTGCGTACTAAAAAAAAGCAGATCAGGCATAGCTAAAAACATATATATATATATATTATATAATATATATTTACCGTAGGGTGGTTGTGCGCATACGGATCTGTGAAAGATGGTTAAACAAGGAAGTTAGACAAGGATAAAAAAAAACTCAAGCTCATGATCAAGAAGAAACTGATTATGCGATAACATTCTTACTCTTCAGACTGCCCTTTAGCTTACGCGAGTTCTGGCCCGAGAACAATTTGTTGACATTGTCAACATCCTCATACACGTTATTCCACGCGTCGTTGTAACTGTCCTGTCGCGATACACTAGAGGGGAGCAAACAACCACATTGTACAGGAACGGGAAATGATCAGGTGAAACACACTGAAACATTTATAACTAAAGTATGTTTGCGCTTCACCTCGCGTGCGATTGAATCACGTCATTCAACCCTGTGTGGCTCCCACTGTCGGTTTCCTGCGTAGCAGAGTGGGACTCAGCATCTCCCGCATCTGACTCATCAGCTTGAGTGCTAGAAAGAGGATCTACGATCACCTCCTCCCTTTGAGCCCATCGCTCTGACGCGGCAAGCTGTGGGAAAGCTGAGAAGTTTATTGGTTCAGGGAAGCTGGCTGGATCGAGGGGCAGTATGCGTTGACTGCCAAGGTTCAGGTCTCGGATGCCGGTGGTGAAATGGGGCTCCGGAGGATCACACACCGGTGAGTCGGCTTCCTTGAAACAGATGAGCCGGCGGTCCTCTGGTACAGGAAGGTCGGTGCTGACTAAGTCAAAGGCCTCCAGTTCTAGTGAAGCAATGTCAAAAGCCTCGCTCTGGGTCGTTTCCATCTGCGAGTTCTCAAAGTCTGGAAACTCTGGAGCGTCTAGAACATAGTGGGACACGGACGGGGGCACGGCTTTTGGCTCCTCGTTTGGTGCTCGAAGACCTGGTGACACTATAAAAAGAATGTAAAACTAAAATCAGCACTTGAGCAGATGTTCAACCTAACCACAAAACAAAACAGCAGCAGGTGTAATACACAGTGTCCAACAACCTGTCGCCGTCACATTTTTCAGTCTGTAGCCACAAAATTGGCAGATGGGGGGCAAAAGTAAAGTAGTAGTAAGTCAAAATACCGCGAAGTGTGTGTCGGAGGTAACAGGTGACGTCTACCGACGGAGGCCTGGGGGGCTTAGGCGGCTGCGGCCCCAGTGACCTCCAGTCAGGTAGCGGCCTCTCTCGAGGAGCCGAGGGTGAACGAGGTTTACCGGCCCTGACAGGGGGATGAGATTTATCCCTGGCAAACTGCTTATCCCACGCAGACCCTAGTCATTGGGAAAAGCCATTATAGCAAATGTAAACAAAAATTCATTGAAAGAAGACGGTCAGGAAGAAAATAGTTGTCATGGAGCAATGCTTACTGTGTGCAGAGGGGTTTACTTTGGAGAAAGGCCGGGCCGACAGACAGTGGAGCGGCGAGGGTACGGGAAGCTCGGGTTCCCCGACGCCACCTGGCAGCGAATGAAGGCCCCCGTCTCTCGGGGCGAAGTCAGGACAACGCCAGTTCTTAGGTTTGGCGGCGGTTGGCACCTGCCTGCTGGAAAACCTCTTCTTGGCCCTCTCCAGGGTGCTCACGAATTTGTTGTTGGAATCGCCGCTCGTCTCCGCGGGAGGAGGGGTGATCGGGATGTCGGCGACGGGGAACTCGGGAGATTGCTCGCCGCGGAGCAAAACGCCGCCTTCTGCGGTTTGCCTTTCCACCGAGGGGAACTCACCGGGAGCGCTGCAGGGCCTGGTGGTCAAATCAGCATACGTAGGCCCCTCTCCATTCTGTGCGCTGACCTTTGACACTTTGGCTGACTTGAAAGGAAGCAGCAGAGGCTTCTTCTTGATTTTCGTTTGCGGCGGGACTTCTCGCCAGGGCTCCGGTTCCCCTTTGTGCTCCTTTTGGGCTGGCAGCTCAGTCTTTCGCTCTTTTACAGGCAGGACAGGGAGAACTAGAGGCATGTGTCGGTCCCTGAGGGACTGCCTCGTTGTGGCGTCTCCATTACCCGGGGGAGAAGGCGGGGAGGTCTGCTGAGGTCGCGGGGGAAAGGAAATTGGTCGCCTGCCTCCGGAAGCCCGCAGATCGTCTCTGAAGATGACCCGGGGAACCACCGGCGGGTGGTTTTCTAGAGCGACGTTAATACCGCTGACCACGGAGCAGCAGTGACCTCCAGGAGGAGAAAAGCGCTTGGGTTTCTCTGAAACAGCTGGCCGACTGGCTTTGGATCGAGCGAGGAGAGCCTCCTCCTGAAACTTGGCCCTCAGAGCTTTGAAGTTGCTCAGTCCCTCCATTGAAAGAAAAATGAAAAAGTGAAATTCAGGAATTGATAGATTGAGAGAGATTACATGGACAGTTTAATTGATGGTGGATTTAAGGAGAGAACTCCCAAAGCTGACAATAATGACCTCATAGGTTTTTTGGTTCACCAAAATTGCAGTAAGCATTTTCTCATTGGTGTATCTAATGTCTCTTAATAATTCTGACTTCACAGCAGTACATTGGCGGTGAAGGCAATGTTTCTCTGTGCACAACTTTAATTAGTCTTAATGATCTTGATTTAGATGATTCACTGAGCCTCTTTTTTTACCCTTCAAAGAAAATCCTGGTGTTCCAGTTAAATTAGCTGGTTTATTGTATCTTCTATCATTGTAAAGCCAATATGTTTGGAGTTTGAACTTTTCAGGCAGCTCAGGATTTTGGGAATCATGATGGGTAAAAACTTAAATAAATGTTCCACTTTAGTCAGTATTACTTAGAAGACAGAAAGTCTTTGCTCTCTCACACAGAGGTCATTGCGTTCAGGGTCATCTGATAAATCAAGACGTTTGTGCGTCGATGTTTAGAATATTGTGGTGCCAAAGATGATCGTCTACACCAAAGGCAGATCACATGAGTTTTTTTCCTTCTATATATTTCACCACCGAAGAAGAAAACCTGTGAATAGCCTTGGAACATGACCTGTAGGGGTCAATTCTGTCTCCTGCTTGAAAGCATCAAAAAATGTCCTGTTTAATGATTTTACACCGGTGTTGAGTAAGAATATTTCTAACAATAAACAAAACAACCTAAACAAGAAAAAGACAAAAAATAAGAACGCAACAAATCTGGATTTGTTGATCCAGATTAACACTAAGTACTTTTCAAACTATGATGCTACCCAATTTGTTAAAGATGTGCAGTATATTTTATTTAATGCTTAATACCTCAGAGATATCTGTTCTATCTGCATAACCAGCATAAGAAGTCAACGAAAAAATATTTTGCAGTTTGTATGAGGTGACCTTTTAACGTTACTATAAGATCACACACCGGGTAGCTAACGGCTAGCAGAGGCTAACATTACCTCCATGTAACGTCGGCTAACTCAATTAACGTTAAGAAGGATATCTTTGAAGGTTACCTCTTCCATTGCGGCTCGCTTCGTTCATCCCTGTTCAGCTTTGTACATTTGGGACGCGGCGGGCTGCGTTGATAACTTTGGCGTGATGAATAGCGCACAATGTAGACGCTAAATCAAACAATTTGAAAAGCGCCGCCGTGAGATGCGGCCGATGCGCACCTGCGTGCTGCGCGTGACCTCATGACGTGCGCGTTCACGAGGCGTATTTGTCAAATCAGAAGCAAAGGGAGTGGATATGTATCAAGTGCTTTAATAACAATAATGAAAATATGACTAATAATGGTAATAGGGCAAATAATAATATTCAATGGATTAGTATAATATTTTAAGTAAGAGAACGTTTTAGTTCATTTTGAGGTGTTAATCTTTTTTGTATTTTGTCAATGTTACATTAAACCCACGGGACATTTTGTGGCTGTGTTTGAGTTCATGAAGGGGGAAGATGAGAAATGGGGGTTATAGATCGTTAAAAAAAACCTCCCAAACTGTTGTAAGAACATGTGTTTACTTTTGATCAATCATTCACAGTCGTTGGTCAGAACTGCAGTGGTAGAAATCTCGACACGGGTGTTTTGTGATGTGGTGTTTTGCTCCTAAGGACTAGCAACTCATTTTCAGAATGGGGACATTTATTAAGTTACTTCTGGCTGTATGCACACTGCTTCTGACGGCAAACTTTATTCCCATTGTGAATACGTACAGGAGCCCATGGACACCTTCTGATTACAGGTGAAGTATTCCTCGGTTCAACATCTCTTAATTCCACGCATAATGTTTCTGTCTATGTCTTGCACGTTAGGTATCAAAGGAAAACATAGATTGTAATGTACATTTATGGTTCCCAGTATGGCTGGGTCGAGGAGGGCCAGAGCTGTAAACAGACCAGCACCCATCAACTGTCAACTGCAGGCCTGGTCATCTTGGACGTCCTGTGACTCCTGCACAGACCAGAAGGTAATGTTGTTTTTTTCAAGAAATTGAAGATGAATGAAAACTATGATTACAACTTCCAGAACTAGAACCCTCTCTAAAACAGGTGGAGTTCAGACAGTTTTCAGTGTGGGAGGTCAGACCGAAATGTAAAGGAGATAATCAATAGAAGGATTAGCTAAACTCTCCTCTTCTGCTCCAATAAAAGGTAGTTCTTCGTTGTCTTTGGATATATTGTAAACTGTAAATATTAAAAGCAGCACAGCTACTTAATGCAACATAGAAAATAACATTTGTTGAATCAATATGATTTCAACTGCATCACTGTGAACATCAGAGCGTGTGGCCTAAACAGTTAGTGACGTTCTGTCTTAATCTCAACAATGATTATTATTATGATAATAACTCTGTCTCAGGGCCGTTTCCGGCGCATGGAGAAGCCCTCCCAGTTCGGTGGCACAGAGTGCGTTGAGTCCCTGTGGGAAAAGCTGGCATGTCCGTCAGCAGCAACGGAGTGTCTGGTGACGGATTACTGTGGAGAGAGATTTACCTGCAAAGAAACAGGCAAGTCCCACCAACAGCGAAGTCTCTTAAAGCTGAGGGTGTTTCCTCCGCGCACCACCTCCACCATACACGTAAAAAAACGCCTCTCTGTCTTGTCCAGGTCGCTGCATCAGCCAGTCCCTTCGCTGCAACGGAGAATCAGACTGCAACGACTTTTCCGACGAAGACGGCTGTGAAGTCGTCAACCGGAGGGGTGACAAGTGTTCGACCTTACTGCCGATCCCCAGTGCTGAACGCGGCACTCAGGGGTAAATACAGAATTGCAGAAGCAAATGCCGTTGAGATACCACGACAGTGGGTAAAAAAATCGTTTCAATCAGCCTACACGTCAGTATTCTTTGATTAACAAATTGCTTTCAGACTTTAGGAATGTAAACAAATCACAGCACAATTTTGTTTGTTTGACATGTGCCTAAGATAATTATTCCTAACTTAGATTGAATTATTCTTTTTTGCCTGTAGCTACAACGTCTTGACTGGAGACTTTGTGGATCGAGTGCTCGACTCGAATTACTTTGGAGGAAAGTGTGAATACGTCTATAATGGTGAATGGAGAAAATTCATTTATGAAGCAGTCTGTGAAAACCTGCGCTACAACGAAGACGAAAAGAACTACAGGAAACCTCACAACTACCACACATACCAATTTGTGGTAGTTATTATTAATTATTATTTTGTTTGATTTGACAAAAGGGCTGTTTTATACATTTTGACCCGATTTCACCCTTCACAGGCTGAAGCTACGTCAGAGGGCTCACAGGACTACTTCACCGATGCTGTGAGCCTGCTGAATGCCAGGAAAACGATGAGTTCTGCCAACGGCGGTGTCACCCTTGGGATCTATAAAGTGGAAGTGGGACTGAGTGGAAGTTCTGAATCAGAGTTCTTCAACAACGTAACGCAATATAATAGCCAGGTATTGATTCATTGATGGATTGTTTGATGTCAGAGTTGTTTATGGTTCTTTAAAGAAATAGTCTGGCATTTTGGAAAATAAATATGCTTGTTTGCTTTCTCGCCTTGGAGTTAGAAGATAAGATTAAAACTTGGATTACCATGAATAATAAACAGGGAAATTCCGAGCCCGGCTCCGTCCAAAAGAAACTAAATCTGCCTTCCAGCATCTGTTTTGTACAGACTAGACCGGATATATTTTACCACGTTATCTGTAAATCTGTCGGTCATTTTCCTTTGTACAGAGCCAGCAGCCGGCTGAATTTAAATTGGCATTTGAGGGATTATGCCTTCATGGTTTCCCCGTTTTCATTACTTATGCTAAGCTAATCAGTCTCTCAACTTGGCTTCATGTTAAACAGTAAGATGAGGGTTAGGAAATGCGTGTATCAAACTTCCTTTAAACAGCGTTTATTTTGGGGTGTGTATAACCAAAAGAGCCAACATTGTTTGGGGTTTGGGTTATCTTCTTATTCCAGTTTAATTAAACTGTTTGGTTATTATTATTTCTGTTCCTTGTCTTTTTGTCTTCAGGAACTAGGCTTCGTTAGGCTTTTTTCCAAAGTGCAAACAGCCCACTTCAAAATGAGAAGTAATAAGCTGATGCTTGATGAAGAGTTCTACGTTTCACTGATGGAGCTGCCCGAGCAGTACCATTTCGGGACGTACTCCCGCTTCTTCAACACATTTGGCACCCACTACGTCACGGAGGGAACAATGGGAGGAACCCTCGAATATGTTGTGGTTCTCAACAAAACGGCCATGGCAGAGTCAAGTACTGTGGGCTTTCCACTTTTATTGATCAAAGTCATTTGACAGGAAGTGACCTTTATTCACTCTCTTTCACAACTCTTACAGATACGGAGGCTGAACAAGCTGGTGTTTGCTTAGGCGCCTCTATCGGTCTGTCCCAGAACCTCTCCACCAATGTAAATGTAGACCTCAAAGTGAAAGGAAACGTTTGCAGAAAGGAAAGAAGTACTCATCGAAGTGAGAAATCAAAATCGAGTTCTGAGTCGTTTTGGCATATTTGTAACTCACTTCAATTGAACTGAAAAGTGATACGAATGATTGTTGCCCAAATGCCTCGTCAGAGCTTGTGATTCATTTTCTTTTGAAATGCAGCCAACGACTCCGATTCAGCCGAGATCGTGGACATTGTCAGTCTGGTGAAAGGGGGAGTCACGCACAGCAGCGCGGGCCTGTTGGCCATCAGGAACCCCGACACCTACAGGAGCTGGGGAGCGTCCCTCAGATACAACCCAACGCTCATCGAATATGAGGTGACTCAATGGAAAGAGTTTGACACCGACATCCTCTAAAACAGAACAAAAAACGAAATGTTGATGGTTCACTCACTGGATTTTTGACCTCGCGCTGCTCTTGAGCTTTCGCTGGTGTCGTCACTTGCTGAGCATTAACTTTTTAATCTCTTCCTGTCTTTGTCCCACATCCCTCGCGGCGCAGACCATGCCAATTTATGAGCTTGTGCGCCTCAGTACAGCCGCCGACCATGTAGGTGCAAGACTGGCCAACTTGGAGAGGGGCTGGGACGAGTATCAGCGGCAGTTTGACTCCTGTCGCTGCGCCCCCTGCAGGCACAACGGCATCCCTGTCCTAACCGGGACGTCCTGCCGATGCGTCTGCAAGCCGGGCTTCCAGGGAAAGGCCTGCGAAGAGACTCTCAGGAAAGGTGAGACTTGGCGTGAGCGAAGGTAGCGGAGGTGAACACATGAAATGAAACTGAAATCAAGCTCCTTCTTCCCGTTTTCGCGCCTTTAAGCTGCGCTAAGCGAAGCCGACCATCCTCCGCCTGAGGCCTGAAATAATTGGTTTCTTCTTAGTAATTCACAATGTTGCATGCAGTCTCATACTTCTAAGTCTTGTTTTGTGAAGTAAATATAGGGGCGTAAAATGAGCTCAACAACAAGAGCTGGTTCTTTAAGGTCCCAAAGAACAAACAATCTGGCCTTTTATAATTCAATTAAATATGTGTGTACGTAAATAACTAAATGTATCATGCTGTACCTTAATTTTAAATCATTTTTACATTTTGTTAGCTATAAAAAACCTTCAAAAAGGATATGATTGAATACAAATATAATCTTAGCGTATGTGTTTGTTTAACCGCAAAGCCCCTTGATTTTTCCTGAATAGACGCCCCGACAGATGGGTCGTGGTCATGCTGGGGGGCCTGGTCCTCCTGCTCATCAGGGAAGAAGACCCGGACCAGAACCTGTGATAATCCTGCTCCTGACGGCGGTGGAACAACCTGCCTGGGCTCCTCCTCTCAGGCTCAACGCTGTTAAAAGTCACGCTGGTTCCAGTGTGAAGCCGTTGAGGGCTGCGTGGACATAATACAAGCGTTTTCTAATGAATAAAAATGCTCCACTATCCAGTGTTTGTCTTTCTGTCCGAGGAGTAGAACTGTACATTCTTTATATGAATTTAAAATCCGAGTAACAGAGGCTGAATCCAGGTCAGTGCTTGAGGCGGGTCTAGTTCGTTCTGTTAGTCGGCCTAAGTCACACTTATGTGACTTCTGTCACAGTCTAAAGAGCAACAAAAAAAATGAGAGTCACCACACCTCAAACTATTTTCAACAACGGGTTTTAATCATTCTTTAAGTCGAGACTGACAACGGGGCTGTTGAGCAGATATCAAAAGCACTCCGTGGACTCCTGCTTCAGTCCTCTGCATGCCAGGTCTTCTTCGCTGGGCGCCGGGTTGTTACACTGTCGACTCCTCGTCATTGTTCCCCCACTGCAGGGCGACCACGCACCCCAGCAGCTCCAGCTGCCTTCAATGGCTATTTCTGTCAAAAGCGTCCACGTCAGTGCCCATGTCGACATGGCGGAACATAAAGTACGTCGAATGCAGAGTTTTGTATTTGGGATCTGTAGATGTTACCTTTTCGCCTACTCGTGATCTCACAGCCTCGTCCAGAGTAGCCGACGGGACACACGCAGTCACACCTGGTGCCTGTTGAGGGAGATGAAGATATTTCAATTGTCACAATCATTACCGTCACTGGTATCAAAGTCACGTTATTATGAATGAATAAAGGCTGTGAACACTTTCAGTCCGTAACTAAACAAGTAAAAGAATTCGATACGTTTTGTCATAAACAGTAAAACCTGTTTTCGTACCTTTCAAAACGGCCACTCCGTTGTTGCGGCACGGAGCACATCGGCAGGGACTGGCCTCGGCCAGGTACTCTGACAGCGCTCTCCTCAGGTTCCTTTTCAGGATTTCGGGATAGGAGAAGTCTCTGGAGATCACCAGCTCAAACAGCGGCCGAATCTAAAGAGAAACCGACGCCAACCCGTTCTTTGTAGCGTCAAAAGTAAGCCAACCGAAAAGCAGCACAAGGGCCGAACCTTTAGCCTATTTGTATACGTCGTGTTTGTAACTGTACCAACCCCCCCGGTGCCAACGATGAACCACTCTTGTAAATGTTTCTGCGTCAAATTCCAGTATTGCATGTTGAAGGGGAAAGACGGAGGAACTCACTGTTTTGCGTATGAAGTCAGGGTTATAACGTACGCCCTCGCCCCAGAGCCCCATCAGCTCCGGGGTGGGAAGCTTTTTAGACACCAACGCAGTGATGGTCTCACTGCTCCCGCCCCTGACGACGGACACAAAGTCCTCCACCATGCTGCCATGCTCTGTGTCCTCTGGGGAGAGACCAAATGACTTCATGGCATCGGTGTCCGGACGTCAAACGGAACATATTCAGCAGGACGTTCGGCGAAACGTGTTACCTCACCTCCAAACTCATTCAGCAGGGCGTCACAGGATCCACCTTGGATCCCCAGCGCCACGTAAATGCCTTTAATGTTGGCCCCGACCTTAAGGCCGGCCTGAGTACAGCGCTTATAGTCATCCAAAGAATAATCTAGAAGAAGAAAAAAGGAAGCCAGGGAGTGTTACAGGATACTGAGCCCCGAGGGAAGACATTTCACTGCATTGTTAATTATCACCTATTTATCAGAATCAGAACCAGAAGCCATTCATGGCTACTTGAGTCACACATTGGGGAATTTGTCTTGACGAAAAATGATTACTAGGCGTCTGTGTCGGAGATGAGGGATGCCAGAATGTGGATGATGTCACTGCCATACCCAAGTATCTGACCCATAATAATTAGCTTTACGCATTCTTCCAACATGCAGCGTTTCGGTTTCAACATCCATTAACATTTACTACCTGTCTTCTCGAGCTTCTCCTTGTTCAGGATGACGGTGTATTCGTAGTCTCCTCCGAGGGCTGCCTCTGTGATGTAGTGGGTTCCGTAGTCCCTGTAGATCTGTCTGTATTCTCCGTAGACATACGTCTGTGGCAGAGAGCGCAGACGCTGCAGGAACTCAGGGTGGAGCATCAAATCATCGGACTTCAAAATGTACTGGGCCAATTCCAGTTCTGCTTTGGCCCTCACAAAGCTGTTGGTCTGGGAGAAGAATCGCTGCAAGTTAGGTGATGAATACCTCATCGTTTCCAGGTTAGAATTGCAGATATTTGAGATATGAGTGTGTTTGTATGAATCTTGATCATTTGTTTTGTTTTTAAAGATACATAGGTTGCAAAGAGGCCTGGAGAAAAGACATCTCACCTTGCTAGAAGCACGGCGAATCTTCCTTTCGGCTTTTGAATATTTTTCATTATTGAAGTTAAAGGCAACTTCAAATACGCCTGGAACGGCAATGCCAAAGGAAAAAGTGGTTTGGGAATAGTGCTCCTTCACGACGTGGTCCTTGTACTCTTTGTATGATTTAAAAGACTGCATTGTGAAATCATACGAGCCTTTTGTCTGTAAACACATGGGAACTGTCATTTATTTCCTTTTTAGTATGTAATTAGCAGAACGATATTGATGACCAATTAACATACAGTCAACATATAATAGCAAATAGAAGAGAGATGGAAGACAACAACTGATGCAGCCAACACAAAGAAAATATGGACACACGTTCTAATGAAGCACCCTTCCAATTATGAGTAATATTAACAACACATTTATTATGTTTTATAAAATAGTTAACACCTAATAAGAACACATTTTAATTTCGCAATTTGGTCTCATATGATGCTCAGCTTCACACTGAATGTCTTTATTTTGGCGGTTTCTCCAAAACAATGTTACATATTTGTTGTTATGTTACACGTTTTAGGAAACATGTCAAAATGCACATTATTATGTCTGTTTGAAATTCCCTGGCTGTCCTTGACCACCTGTTGAAAAACTCCAGTCTGCTCTGTTTTGCTTGCAAGATAATATTTCAGACAGAAAACTGCATTTACATGCAGGAAGGGAAGCCAAATATTTTCCGATCTATTACTAAAGATATTAGTGGCTGCAAAGCTACTTACTAACCCTCTTATAAAGAGTGACTTATTAAAATGTCATGGCAGGAAGACCTCATCTTGTTTACGGACTCCGACCTAATGCTCATTACGCACCTGCAAAGTGTAATGTAGCAAGTTGTACGGCTTCCTGAATCTGACATCCTCGATGTAATGCGGCAGGCAGCTGCCGGCGTAGTATCTGTTATCCAGCACCACTCCCCCGAGGTTACTGTTCAAGATGTTGATTCTGAAAGATAAGTAGCGGCGGCGTTTAACGGCGGGCAGATCGATTTTGAGGACTCACGTGGCGGACTCACCCTTTGGCGAGGTTCTCGATCCCCCAATACTCCTCGGCCTCCGAGCTACAGGGCTTCGGAACGTTCTTACAGCCGGCTTCATCCGACATGTCCCCACAGTCGTCCTCCCCGCTGCACTGCAGAGTTCTGGGGATGCAGCGACCTGACGGAGAGCAAGGAGGTGGACGGCATTACGACACAAACACCCTAAAATCCATAGTTGGGGCCGGATGTGGGAGATACCTGTTTGGTTGCAGAGGAATCCCTCACACAAAGGAACAGTGACACAGGTGTAGTGTGCTGGAACGGCACAGGCCTCCTCCTCCTCGCCATAAAAGTTGCACGGCTGCCCTCCAAACTGGGATGGCTGGTCCAGTTTGGCATAGCGAAACTATGAAGACAAACACATAAACCGTTGGAGGAACAGAGAGGAAAAGCTCGCCTCTACTCAACGAAGGTGGTAGAAAGTGCTCCAGGGAACTATTACAGCCGAAATCCCATTAGAGGGCTGTTTTCACTTTGTCATGTCAAGGTTATTAATCCCCCCTCCTTGTAAAGTGGATGAAATAGAACGCTGAAGTACATCAGCCGAGACCTTTGCCAGCAGAGGAGCCCACAGAAAAACAGCACTCAGGAGTCAGCATGTCGGATGCCTCAGTCTGCACGATTATCTTACAATCCGAGCGCTGAATCTTGTCTTTCTGTATCAGAAATCTTATCTGTCTAATACCAATGTTATAACATGAACATTGGTATGAGACATAAAATATGTTTAGCTCACTGCAGTGCACAAAACCTGTAGTCAAATGGGCCGCATTGACTGCGGCTATGCACTTATTGTTACTCGCTCTGGATAAAAGCGTCAGCTAAATTACATGAAATGTAATGGTTCTTCTTTGATTAAATTGCTAGATTGGGAAATACATTTTCTATTATTTCAAGATTACGTGACCTGAACAATAAATATCACGGGACGAATCCCCCATTTATATAGCGATTTGTTATTTTTACACATGAATTGACTAACAAATGAGTTGGTGGATGCATTTGGTTGCTCCAGGCTAGTGTTCCTCCTGTGTATCTAGTCTATATGCTATGCTAAGTTAGCTAGCTTCTGGGTGCTGCTTTTTATTTACCAAAATGGGAGAGTGATACCAAACTCTCTCCAACAAAGCGTACTCCCAAAAAATGTTCCTTCCTTCTTCCATATTGGATGCAAGGGTTGAGCAGCACATGAAGTGAGGGACATCCGATGACCATCAACACACGTTCAATGTTGAATTCTGTGGTCACACCATCTCCCTCAATGAGCTTTTCATTTAAACATTTGCAATGGGTGGTTTTATTGTGTCTTGTGTCCTGATAGCATGTATTAAAGCTGGTGTTACCATAGTCTGGTGTTACCATACTCACTCTTTTCTTCTGGCAGACGTCACAGCGCGACCACGAGCTCCACCCAGACAGAACACAGTCCACGGGATGAACGACCACCTGATCGGCCGCCGAGCGAGCCTGACGAACACTGGGCTCCTCGTTGTCCGCTTTCGTCACGGCAACATAACTGGGGCAAATTGCTTCAAAGTAACATTCGTGTACTGACACACATTCTCAGCGGATTCGGAAGTGGAAAAGTTTTATTGTCTCAAAAATAACAAATGGCTGTCGAGTTCGGGTCGTGGTGGAACACAGATAAAGACACAGATATAGATATTAGACAGGATTTAGGGAGGATTTCAAGCCTTTTTTTAAACTGTGTTGGAGGTTAACATTAAAATATCAGCCGTCGATTACCAAACAGATGGAAAAACCTACCTTAGCAGCACCAAAGTAACACAGAGCAGACAGCAGTGAGAAGTGAGCGCACTCATCCGTACCACCACAGCCAGCATGGTTGTATGTTGTGCCTGACAGCGAGCGAGGAGAAGACACTGCTCAGCTCCCTATGTAAACACGCACGGATCAATACCGACCCGCACGTGAACTCAGTGCCGCAACACACGCAGAAGTGGAGCCGAATGCACAAGACGGCAGACGTCGGTGCCACTTGACAAGGCGTCGTGGGATTAGGTTTTTGTGTCAGTGTGCGATGGACACACAGGTGTGACATCAGGTTCTTGCTGCAGAGGGGAAAACGTGTCCAATTCCGTGCTCTAATCATCTCTATCTGACTGTGTAAGTAGGGATGTAGCTGTGGACGTATCTAGGTAGATGATTTACAGCTGGACAGAGGGGGGGCCGGAAAGCTTTATAGACCCCCAGCGTCAAGGTTGTAGAGATATAGAGACAGAAGAGCCTTTGCCAGAGTGAGGATGGCAAAGGCTCAGGGGGAGATAGTGTAAGAAGGCCTCATGTGTGTGTGTGTGTGTGTGTGTGTGTGTGTGTGTGTGTGTGTAGGCGCTGGGAGACAGAAGGGAGAGAGGGGGGGCAGCGAGATAGGGTCAACCCACCAGAATGACGGAGCCAGGCTGTCATCAACATACCAGAAATGGGGGTCTGGTGAAGAGGGGGGAGAATAACGGGAAGATAGTTACGCAGTCAGGATAGAGGGGGAAGGTTTCACTCAATCCAATGATCAAAGGAATGCATTAACTGTTTCATCGGATTGTAAAGGGTCTTTCTGATGATAAGGAGCTTGCTTTATTTGAGTGTGTGTTGCTCCAATAAATCTCTGCGGACTGTGGCTTCTCACCGCGAGTCAGATGGATGGAAGTCAACGAGTTGTGAATGTGAAAGAAAATAGTTACAACTGCAAAGAATAATTTCACAAAATAAGGTAATCGACATACTTAAGCCAGGAGCTCTGCTTGGTTATTTAAACTCAATTGTATGTCAATTGTAGAAATGGGATCAATTGGAAATGCAAAGAAAACATATGCTACAATAATGATATATGAAAATGGAGGAAAATAACGGCTTTGCGATGAAGTAAATTCCTGTAACAGAGTTAAACCATTGAAATTGTGTTTGTGTATTTTTGACCTTTAAACTTCACCTTGTCTGCTTTTGGATTTCACAAAGTGACACAACTGATGTTTACTGACCCTGTGAAAATCAACGTAAGGGTTAACCTAATAAAACACACTGCTAGTCCTGAAATGACTCAGAATGTAATTATAACACTATCTTCATATATGTTGTCCTTGGAGGACGCACAGTGGGATGTGATTAGTTGATCTATGATTGTGAGGTAATACTTGGTGAAAAGTAATTACTAAACCTCTCAGAACTGTTCAAATGTTCCACTATTTCTAAACAAAAGGAAATAAATATGTGCAGCAAAACTTAATATTTATTTTACTTTCCAACACATTAATTATCTAAAGACGCCTAATCTTGTGAGTCTTTAAACAGATTAATTAGTAACAGCGGCCAGTGTTATAATGAACACTTACTTTTTTATACTCAGTGTATTTGCTTTGAAAAACTACTTTTAATTATTCCATCCATCCATCCATCCATCTTCAACCGCTTATCCGGGGTCGGGTCGCGGGGGCAACAGCTCCAGCAGGGGACCCCAAACTTCCCTTTCCCGGGCCACATCTACCAGCTCTGACTGGGGGATCCCAAGGCGTTCCCAGGCCAGTGCAGAGATATAATCTCTCCACCTAGTCCTGGGTCTTCCCCGGGGCCTCTTCCCAGCTGGCCGTGCCTGAAACACCTCCCTAGGGAGGCGCCCAGGGGGCATCCTCACCAGATGCCCAAACCACCTCAACTGGCTCCTTTCGACGCAAAGGAGCAGCGGCTCTACTCCGAGCTCCTCGCGAATGGCTGAGCTTCTCACCCTATCCCTAAGGGAGACGCCAGCCACTCTCCTGAGGAAACCCATTTCGGCCGCTTGTACCCGTGACCTAGTTCTTTCGGTCATGACCCATCCTTCATGACCATAGGTGAGGGTAGGAACGAAGATTGACCGGTAGATCGAGAGCTTTGCCTTCCGGCTCAGCTCTCTTTTCGTCACAACGGTGCGGTAAAGCGAGTGCAATACCGCCCCCGCTGCTCCGATTCTCCGGCCAAACTCACACTCCATCTTCCCCTCACTCGTGAACAAGACCCCGAGGTACTTGAACTCCTTCACTTGGGGTAAGGACACATTCCCTACCTGGAGTAGGCAATCCATCGGTTTCCTGCTGAGAACCATGGCCTCAGATTTAGAGGTGCTAATCCTCATCCCGACCGCTTCACACTCGACTGCGAAACGCTCCAGTGAGAGTTGGAGGTCACAGACGGAAGATGCCATCAGGACCACATCATCTGCAAAAAGCAGCGATGAGATCCGCAGCCCCCCGAACTGTAGACCCTCCTCCCCCCGACTACGCCTCGATATCCTGTCCATGAAGACCACAAACAAGATTGGTGACAAGGCGCAGCCCTGGCGAAGGCCAACCCCCACCGGAAACGCCTTCGACTTACTGCCGAGCACCCGAACACAGCTCTCGCTTTGGGCGTACAAGGATTGGATGGCCCCAAGCAAGGACCCCCTCACCCCGTACTCCCGCAGCACCTCCCACAGTATCTCTCGGGGGACCCGGTCATACGCCTTCTCCAAGTCCACAAAACACATGTAGACTGGTTGAGCATACTCCCAAGCCTCCTCTATGATCCTGGATAGAGTGATAGGTGGTCCGATGCTACACGACCCTGACGAAAACTGCACTGTTACTCTTTCACTACTTGGCTTCGACTATCGGCCGAACCGCTTCTTTGCCAGTACCCTTACAGTAGACTGTACCCTGGAGGCTGAGTAGTGTGATACCCCTGAAATTGG